AGTGACAGCAGGGATTTCCTTCGCTATTCCCTCAGACAGAGTCCGTCTCTTCCTTGAACGATCTGCAGACAAACAGAGTAAGAATGACCTCACAGCTGCTTGCTTTTGTCTGTGACAGCATTTTTTTCACTGACAGATGGTTATTGGGTCTTTTGTTCAGAGTCTTGGTTTGGAGAATCGGGATGGAAAAGGCGTTACATTGGAGTGATGATGTTGACTTTGACCCCCAGGTGCCAAACACTTTTATTACAATTTTACAGGAGAGCAAAATTCATACATTATGGAATCTACAGATTTTTGTTATATACCACTAGATTTGGCTCTTAGAAATTCAAGTGCTGGAATACCTGGAAAATTGGCTTGTTCTGTTGAAAAGTGCTTAATTTATCAAGGAGAATTTGTTTGCAATTTTCACGCCCGAAAAATAAAAATGTTTGTGAATTTTTGTGACAATTTAATGCAAAAATACCCGCACAAACTACCGTGATTCCGACGCAGTGATTTAAATGATATGAGAAGTGGCCAATCACAGTCAACCTTGTTTAGATTTACAATGAACGTAAGGGCGGGACAAAGGCCTTTCTGTGTTGCAGTGACAGAAAAAAACAACTTAAAAACAAATGTTTTAATGGAAAAATGCTTTTAGGATGTTTTCACTATATGTTATTAGCAAGAGTAATTAAACCACGGACATACTTCCTGCCATTTCAACGATCTTCACACACATTTTGCTCTCTTCTCTCCGCTCTCTTCTTCTGACTTGTCTGTCACTCCTCTGAATGTTGGCGTGGGAATGCAGGTATTGCGCAATTACTCATTTCTGCATACGTCGTGAGCGCTTTATTTTAACATGAGAGCGCAGTCATGTACATTAATCATAAAAACAGATATGCGAGCTCTTAAATAGGCTTTTTCAAATTAACTGCAAGTCCTCTCATCATCTCGTGTATGTGATTAGACTGTATACAATCACTATCTCTTCAATATTAAAGTAGAAATTATTTATCTTTGCTCCTTGACTAAATTTAGTATTTAGAGTACAGACTTTTTATTTGGCTGTATCGTCAAGTGAAACTTACTTTGAGCAAAGTTGGAACTTTTTATATTTTTTTAAGACAAAAGAATTATGCTAGAAATGTTTCTGTTTGGGGTATTTGTGGGATTTATACATTATAGCTGTATTCTGATCTGTCTTAAAGCATCACTGAATTGTACAGGCATTACAGGTCAAAGCAATCTGCTGTTACATTTATCATAATAAACAATAAGACTCTTCAAACACTGCTTTGAAAAATGCAGTGTTGTCATAATTCAAATACCTAGAGTTAAACAACATTTGCTTTATTATTTTATTACTGACAGTGTAGTAGTCTTTCTTGTAAAATTATTTCAGTTTAAGATCAAGTGTAAAATAATATTTCCATGTGCTGTACAGCTATTTAAGAAACAAATTTGCCATATTGTAAAGACAAGAATGAGCAAATAAGAAAAATGATGTAAAATATGTAAATAAAAGACTAAATTTAAATATTTTTATCATATACTTTAATTAAACCTTTCAAAACTTGAAAATATTGTTTAAAAAATGGACAAAAAGTGTCTCTGGCCTCATAGAGTGTGGGGTTGTTTTGCCAGTACTATTGAAAAAGATTAATTGTCATGGAAGGAAAAATCGACCATACTTCCTTTGTTAGTGCACATTTTTATATATGTAGCTTTGTGATTCAAGCAATTAAAGCATTCAAATAAATTTATCATAATTTCTTTTAAAAAGAGCCAAAATGAAAATCTGAGTTTTTTTCCCCCAAAAAATATCTAACTAGTACTCTGAGTAGTTTTTAAAATAGTACTTTGTACTTTTACCCAATGTTAGTATTATTTACTAAAACTTGTATTATTTTAGCAGTGTAATAGTATAAAAAAACATTTTTACAAGCATATTTAGTGCAGGTTTAATATATTATTAATACACAATTGATTAATTAATTTTATTATTATTATGATCATTAATGGTTTTTATTTGTATATTTATATAAATTCCTATGCAGTGTTTTAATACGATGCGTGTCAGTGTTGAAAATAAAAATAGGTGCTGGAAAAAAGTGCTCAAAAGTCCTTGATTTTCATTAGGCTGTGCCTTTATGAGCCCTGTAAAATTCAAGATATTTAAGGTTTTAGTTTTGTAAAGTAATGTAGAGTTGAGCAATATCATATATTTTTATTTTTTTGTCCCAAATGACATGAGTTCAATTGTGGTATTGATTTGAACAGTTCTGTAAATAATTAAAGGTGCAGTAGGGGATCTGCCAAAATGCTAACCGCTTAGCCTATTATCTTTGGACCGCGGGGAGGGACTGTGATTCAAAGCCACACGGCCTGAAATCTGCATTTGCTGACAGTTTGAGCTACTTATCTGAATTACGGGAGATGTCGACCCGACAATATTTAATTGGATGAACATTTTTTAGTTTTATGCTTTACCCATAATATAAAATACATAAAAACACATTTAGATCATTTACTTTAATCATTACTATTGGACTGTGAAGAGACTTTCAACCAGCGCAACTAAAATGTTTCTGAGGACAATCACCTACTGCACCTTTAATTCAATGCATTGCAAATTAACAGCATTTCCTTTGTCACACTCTATGCGACTGAAGTAGTATGAATGTTTTGTTGAGGTGTTTTTGGTTGAAGCGAATGTAATATTGATTGTTATGCTGATCTATCTATCAAACTATCAGTCTATCTATCTATGAATCTATCTATCTATCTTATCTATTTATCAATCAATCCTTAAACTGTAAACATTCCGCTGAAGTGAGTCTTTTATTAACTTTAAATTCTCTTTTTCCCCTCCTCAGTATAATCGAAGAGCTAAGGATGCGAGACCCGTCCTTCCCTGATGTTTCTCATGGAGTTCTCATCCACCGTGTGATTGTAGGATCTCCAGCCAACAGGTGTGCTGCTCTCTGAACATGATGTTATCAGCTGTTGATTAAGGCATCCTATTGATGATGTCATTTCCTGTTTTCTGTTTTGCAGAGCCGGAATGAAGCCAGGAGATGTTATTATTGAGATCAATGGGGTAAAGGTGAACACGTTGGAGGAGATATATAATGCTGTGAGGACCAAATGTGGTGGTCCGCCGGGGGGCCGACCTGCTCATGCTGCACATGACCCCAGAGTCCACAGAGTGACATCAAGTCAAGTATTTAGTAAGATTAAGAAATGGTGAGTAATGAGAAGCTGTCATAGTTGGAGATGTTGTAAGAAAGGAATCATTTAAAGAGTTTTAGCAAACGCTGGACATTCGTGTAGTAAACGTGTTTCTGGAAGCGTATGAAATAATGTGGATGATTCAGACTTCTGTACACTGGATAAACCTCAGTGTGTCTGCGCAAACTACACTATCAGTATTGATTTGAAGGAATATCACTGAATATTTTGTTTAGGATTGTCATGATGGCAACAAACACTCAAAGACCTTAATAAAACTGGGTGCTCTTATTGTGAAAATGCTGATGTTTTGTATTGAGTCTCACATTCTCATGTTACGACGTTTGTATTTTAATACATTTTTCTGAACAGCTCTGATTTCACAATAAACCATTGGAATATTTATGGATGATTTGCTGATGTCGCAGTGACTGATATGTTTAGGTTTTGGGTCAGCGCTGTACAGCATTCTGAAAAAGTGTATTTCTAAAAGTGCGCCGTAATGACGCCAGTGTCAACTGCAGTGTGTGTTGGAAAGGACTGGATGCTGTTCAAACCTCATGCCAAGTTTTTGTCACCCCAAACAAAACCATTTTAAATCCACACAATCTGACAACACTGGGGCTAGATCACAATATAAGCCACAACACAAGTGAGTTCAATAAAATATATCTTTATTACAGACATGTACAAAAATCAAATATACAAAACATTCTGCTAATGTGACTCAGAACTCCAGCATGGACCAGTCGTGGTAAGGCATCTCTTCTAGAGGAATTCTGCACTCTGGATTCTCATGCAGACAAGCCCTCATCATATTACAGCATTCTGTGAAGAAGAAATGGAGAGGTGAGGTTATTGTTATTATTATTATTATTATTATACCGTTTTTGCTTAATTGTTCTTTGATGAACATCTCACCTTGAGAGAGGGTAAATTTGGACCAGTCATGTTGGAGGTAGTACAGGTCATACGCTGATGGGAATTCTCCATGGAGCATTGTGAACAGAAGAACCCCAAGAGAATAGACCGTCGCTGGTTTGGCCCGGTAGCATCCTTTTTCATAAAACTCTGGCGGGATGTACGCTTCTGTACCTGGAGGAGAGACGTTTAGTTTAGCATCATGTTGAATATATATACCAGATGGGTTTCAGCTGTGCTAATTAACCAGCTTTCAATACGTATATTAAAAATGCTTATGCACATTCATAACTAGTGTTGTCAAAAGTATCAACTACCAATCGATACCGACACTCATCACAGTCATATTTGCTGAGCATGTGAACACCAATGGCCAATCAGTGGTGTTTAACAGCGCTCAAATTGACTTGTTAAATGTCAGAATCGATTGGTACCGAAGTCGATACTTTTGACCACACTATTCAAAACACCTACCAGAGAAGAGACTGTAGGCTGATTCCATCATGAAGTCTCCACACCCGAAGTCGATCAGCTTGACTTCCAGTGTGTCGGGGTTCACCAGCAGGTTTTGAAGCTTAATGTCCCGGTGGAACACCCCGCGGTAACAGCACACGTTGGCCGCATAAACAGCTTGCCTCATGATGGTATGTGCTGTTTTCTCACTGAGGACTCCTCCGCTGACTTCAAGGAATGCCTCCAGGTCCATGCTTGGACTAGGCCGCTCCATCACCATGACATAATGGTTTTCAAAGACCTGCCAGTCCAGGAGCTTAATAATGTTCGCACACCTGGAGCCACCGCTGGCCATGTTTGCCAAGGTGATCTCTAGAGGAAGTGGCTGGTCACATGACTGAAAACAAAATAATAATGTTGGTTTTCAAACAAGGGTTTCTGACCACAGCCTGTGGTCTATAATAAATATAAGACTTTATAAACTGAACACAGCGAACAGAAAGTGTAGTCTACTCACAGAGCTGACATCTTGCATATTTGGGGTCTTCTGGACAAATTTAACTGCCACCTGTTTAAAGGAACAAGCCAACAATTAACATGTGCACGGAGATCATTTCATTCAGTCATAAATCCTGAACAGAGGATTCATTCGTCAGCAGAAATGTCCAAACAATGAAAGCTCTGATGATGTTCTTTAAACAGGGAACTTCATCAGAGGATTTGAGTCTACAAAAATGAATACCTGCAGACCATCCTGTATGCGAATCCCCTCATACACGGAGCCGAAACCTCCTTCACCAAGCTGCTTTCCGAGTTTGTAGCGGCAGCTGATGTCATCTGTTAAAAATGAAGAAAATGTCATTAAATTATAAACCAAATAAAAACACAAACAGTTGAAGTCAGAATTATTGTCAGATTTCAGAACATGATAGTTTTAATAACTCATTTCTAATAACTGATGTCTTTTATCTTTGTCGTGATGACAGTACATCATATTTACTGGATATTTTCAAGATACCAGTGTTCAGCTTAAAGTTCTGAATACTTAAACTTTATTGCTCTGCATCATTTGGGAAATATTTAAAAAATATGAATAAAAAATCACAGAAGAGCGAATAATTTTGACTTCAACTGTATAATTTTACAAAGTTTGATGAGCCTAAACAAATGTTCTGAACTCCAGCAATAAACTTACTATTGTCCAAGCAGGTCCCATCATCTGCTGTAGACTTCACAGCAGAGTCCTCTTGTGAGACCTGATCCGGTAAAGGGTTCGAGTTTTCATCCAGGGCAGAGTCACAGATGTCATCTGTTATGAGCTGCTGGCTCACTGGAAGTTCATTGTCCTCATCGGATGGTGAACTTGGAGGACTATCAAGCTCTTGCTCCAGGCTGTCCTCGCTGAGGGAGGATTCATTGTCTTCTGGGAAGTGAAGCTCTGCAGAGTCGTTCTCAATGACCACTGCAGAGTCAAAGCTGTTCACTTCAGGTTTAGAGTCCAAGTCTTCGTCTGCTGGATCATCAAGAGCTGGAGGTTGGAGAACTTCCAGCTCCAGGTTGCTCACAGCAGTGCAGAAGAATTTAGAGCTACTGATGGGCTCTGCGTGAAGTTCGTGGATCTCCTGCACACATAGCTGATCTAAAGAGAGGAAGGAACATCATTAATATGACTCTACAACTCTTTTTGACAAGATATTTGAACAGTTCATTTGCAGAAACATTACTCAATGTGTTTTTATTGATGATCTTCAAGGGTTTTCTGCATTGAATTAGCAAACAAGTAAACTATATATCTAAAGGCAAAGCTCACTGAAATAAAAAAAATCCTAATACAAATAATTCTTATTTTTTCTGTTTTTTACACAAAACTACAAATTCTGAAGAAAATTCCTGAAATCAGCAGCCATTAACCTTCATTGTAGGAACACAAAATACTGTGGAAGTCAATGGCTGAAAGCACCTCAAACAGGTTTAAAGAGTAAATTATGACAGAATTGTCTTGTTTATGTGAACTGTGGCTTTAAGAAACTATCTTTCTAAAATGTCTTCCAGTTAATGTTCATTTCTGATCTTTAAACACTTATGTGATGTGTTTGGTGTGTTTAATATGCTTTAGTAATTAAAAGTGCTGATAAATCTATTTTACCAACAACAGTAGCTCTTCTTCTGGAGAAACAGGCGAAGAAGATGGGAGACAATTTGAGTTTCCTCTTTTTCTGTCTCCCTGCCTGTTTTCCTGCAGCGACGGCCGGGTCATCGGTCATCAGATGACGGTGATTCTCTGTCGTGCTGCCGGTGGGTTCGAGTGGCTCACACGGTTGTTCGTTCGCACACTTAACACCAAACGCTTTCTTCAGACGGTTAATCAGTTTTGAAAATGCCATTTTATCACTGTACTGTTGAATCGCAGAAAGTACTGAACTACTAGACATCCAAAGAAGCTAATGAGAGTTTCTGCTACGTCAAAAAGCTTTATACTGTCACCGATGATGTCAGAGTTCCACAATTCCATTTGGTATTACGTAGAGACTTTTTAAAACACAACAAACTTCTAATGAAAGCCCGCGCTAGACTGACTGGCTCATTCGCCTTAATGTGCTCACACAGCCACCTGATTATATACACATTTTTCCAATTATTCATTAATTTATTTTTGCACTTAGGCCTATGTATTTTTTTCTGTCATGCACAACTTTTTCTGCGCTTTACTTTTTATTACAATTATTACCATGTTTATGTATATTTATACGTGTGTGTGTGTGTGTGTGTGTGTGTGTGTGTGTGTGTGTGTGTGTGTGTGTGTGTGTGTGTGTGTGTGTGTGTGTGTGTGATTCATTTATTTTGAGTAGCTCATTTTCGTTATTTTATATTTTCATTATCAATTATTTATTTATTTTAACAGTATTATTATTATCATTTATATTATATTTTATATATTATGATTATATAAATTCGTTATTCTTGTGAATTCTTTTTAAATGAATAATGCTTCAAATAATAAATTAAAAAGAAAAAATATTAAACAAAATGAAGTTATCCATGTATTACCTGAAACCGCCAGTAGGTGGTGGTAGGACACCGTCTTAAGTGAATAAGACATTTATTCAGCAACAAAGCAACTGTTGTATTTATGAATAGGTCAAGGATGAATCGACTCTCACAATTCATTTAAATCATAGATTCATTCACAAAAAATAACCCACTCTAGCCTAAATAAGGACTGAACCGATGTGAACGCTAACAGGTAGGAATAATGATCAAATTCTTGTGGATTAAACCTCTTTGTTGACATCAATTGCAGTAGATTTTATTAAGTTACAACAAAAGGTAGGAAATGGTTTTAATTGTAAACTGTACTTATTTTATGTGTGAACATGCTACATGCTAACACCATCACAGCGTTCCAGTCAACTAATTTAGAGCTACTAACGTTAGTCAACAGTCCCCGCCTTCACTTAGTGAAAAATGCAAATTAAAAAGAAAAAATAACATAAATAAAATAAACAATTACAAATTAAACCAATGAATATTAAAGTAAGTGTAATTACATCTAACGTTTATTACTGTATGTCACAGGCTAGTAGCGCTTATTAGCATTTGATGCTAATGCTAACATTGATGCAACTTAATGTAAATATTAATGTTATATTTACGGTACTGTAACTTTAAACTAACTATTGTTTTACTTAAAAGCTTGATCAAACCTTTAACATTAACATCAGTCAGATTAATTGCTATTTGAGTGATTCTGTTAAAATTAACTTACATTTGTTTCTGTCTAGATAACCTTAGGAACTATACAGGGAGAGGAATTATTTAGTTTAATATTACAGAAACTCGATTTTTATTTTCTATATTTTTCTTAGGCCACAGTTTGAAATGCCATTCTGCAGGCTGAAATGGCATATTTAACACAATTAACCTCGACTTTACTACAAAAAATATAGTCAGGTTTATTTTTTGAGGATAAATGTAAGTTTACTTTAGTAAAACTATGTTTTTGTCTTATTGGCTAAATGGGCTCATGAAAGTGTTTCACATAGAAATAAATAAATAATAATTAATAATAATAATTCCTTACATTTATATAGCACGTTTCCTGCACACTCAAAGTGCTTTACGCATTGGTGGAACATGTTTCCTGAAAGACATTTTGAGATGGAAACGATATTTTTCTTTCCCATTTATTGATGATATTTGGTCAACAATACATTTTTACGCCCAAATCAGGTAGAAGAAATTCATTTCAAAATATTACACAGGTACTACTATCCCTGCAATATATTTAATAATAAATAATAATAATAATAAAAAATTCACAAAAATGTTCTTTTTGTACTTGTAAATTTTCTGATGATTTTTGGAAACAGGTTTCAGGGTTGATTTTTGATTAATTTGGAGATATGCTGTAGAGAGAGGAATCATTAAAAGGCGAGAAGTGAAAATTCTGTTGTTATTTACTCCAAACATGCTTGCGTTCTTGTGATATTTTGAGAAGTCAGTGGTCCCTCACTGATTATAAAAAACACACACACACACACATTTTGAGTCTCTATGCAGTTACATTGACTGTAATTTAAGTTATGAAAGGAAACAATATACTTTTTTTTTGTTTTATATTAATTATGACGTATTTAAAGGAAGGCTTTTTGGCAAATAGGCTCATTTTTCAAGTCACTCAGAGTTAAACTGTTGTGTTTGATAATTTTAATCCGTTCAGCTGATCTCTGGGTCTAACAAATAGTTCAAAATCCTTGATTATTACTGCAGAATGAGAGTATAGCAAAGATTATAGAATACACATGACGTGTCACTCGTATACTTTTGACTGGGAAAAGTGAAACAGTCAATAGGCGAATGAAGCCCCGCCTTCTAGTACAGGAGCCAATCAGTGATTGATATATGGCAAATAAAGCCCACCATTTAGTACATGAGCCAATCAGCGATCAGTATAGAATGACAATTCTCCAGGGGAGGGGCTTGGACTAGATGTGAGTTTCTGCAGATATTGTGTGATATGGACATTTATAAATGAAACTAAAAGGACAGTTACTGTTTAATTTTATTGGTTTTTCATAGTATGTAATGTAATCGTAATCTTGGCAAGCAGTTTTGAAGAATTTGATTTACCCATTCAAACAGAATGCCCATGTATACTTCCCGAGAGGCGTATAGGTATAGTTACTAGCCATGTCAAGCTCGAACATAGCAGCTATTCATTTCCATCAGTCTTGGTGCATACTTTAACTACACAAGAGTCAAGTTTTACTTTAAAAACTCTTTGGAATTTTTTGAGCGAGATGCTAATGGTCTAATCTGATTCAAGGATCTATGCTAAGCTAAGCTAAAAGTTCTTCTGTCAGACCCGGAGTTTGTCTGAATGGATTTAAAGAGCCCCTAATATACATTAAAAAGGGTGGGGGGGGGGGGGGGTCTCCAACAACAGGCTGATGTGCATTCAAGGTCAAAGAACACTTTCATTGTCTTAGAATATGCATTTATTTTTACCAAATTATGGCAGCGACTCTCATATGATTATTTAGCAATTCATTTGTTTCTACACCCCTCCCTAACGCGATGCTAATCTGCGCTGATTGGTCCTATTGTACTCTTTTGTGATTGGTCAACAGCGTTCAGCATGAGATGGAGAGAAATGGCCACCATGGCTTATCAACAATATTGAAGTAGTCAGAGTGCAGAGTGTATGTGTGAGTATACCTGCCAACACTCACGTTTTTATTTCGGGAGTCTCCTGTAATTTCAGACCCATCTCCCGCCACCCTCCCGTTTTGTTATTTATCCCGGAAACTGATGATGGCCATAGCAACGACAAGTGCCAGAGGATTGTGCATTTAAATGCAAACGCATTTAAATCCGTAAACAAAGCGGCATGCGTCGCATTTTCATCATGGCATTAGACGTGATATGAGAATATAAAGAGTTAACCAGATGCACTACAAGCGGTTATAAGTAGCAAAAAACAATTAAATACATAATTTGTAGAGAAAACAAAGAGGCAACCATTTTAATTGCACATACTTACACTTGTGAAATAGAGGAAGAAACTGATCCATAAACTGTGTACTGTAAAGTTCCTGTCGAGCTCTGACAAAGTCCCATACGTCAACAGACTTTTCTGATCTAAAGCACTCATCAGAAAAATGACAGGAACACAGCACAAGCCTGGGCTGTAATGTTGAGGTATTTTTGCCAAAATAAACCTCAACCACTGACTCTTCACTGTTTCATCTTTGAGTAGAGAAAATAACACTAACTTTCCCCTCACACTTCAGAGCACAGCGTCTTCGCAACATGATTCAACTGGCGTCTGCTGCAGTGTCCTTCTTCTTTTTCTTTGCTACTGTGTTTGTGGGCGGGGCTGGTTTTTTTAATTTTCCCGGGATTGCGCGTGCAACAAATAGGCGGGTCCAGGCCCGGATTAAGAACTCAGGAGCTCCTGGGCACATTATCTTGTAAGGCCCCCTACCTGGCCCTACCCCTAAAGTTGAATTTAAAAAATAATAATAATATAATATTTTTTATTAAAATGAATCTATAATTTGTTGCCCACATATTTAAATAAATGATATATAGTACATATGTATCTACAAAGATTTAACTTATTTTTCAAAGCATTGAATAAAAATACTAATAAAATGAATGTTTTTTTAGTATACTTGTACAAGTTCACTGAAACAGTACTATATATCATTTTTTAAGGGTAGTTTTAATGTAGAGCTTTTACAAACTGATAGAGCATATTGTTTGCATGGCATAGGCTATATCACACAATGCCTCTCCAATAATACACACACTTATTAATGATTTACTGTCTCTCTCTTCCTCTCCCTGTATTCTCTCTACTCTTCTCGTGATGAAGAGTTGGCAAACAGCATAGATCAACTTGATTATAAACCTAAAAGTATCCGAAATCACACACACTATACCTCTTCTCCTCTCCGGTCTCTCTCCTCTTCGGGGCCTTTCTCTCTCCCTCTCTCTCTCCTTTTTCTATCTGTTTCTCTCACGATGAATCCAGTCCGCGCTGCGCTGCTGTTAGCCTCCTCCGCCTGGTTAATGCTAGCTTACTGATCTAACGTTACCATAACGTCTTCTTCTATACCCTCATCCTCCTGATCATGGGTCTGTTTGAAGAAGGTGTGTATGGAAAATGCCTCAATAAAGATGCCTCCTCTCCTCTTTCTCTCGCGTTTGCTAAATCAACTTGTCCACTCATTTTTGATACATGATAAATACTAACGTTACACTACAGTCCGCTCAGTTAAGTGCGGGTTATTTCAAAACTGATGTTTCCACACTTGACCCATTACAGCATTCTGTTTAGTTAAAGAAAGAAAGACAATTTAAACATAATAATAATAGCTATATGTGATTTTTTTGCTCAGATGAAATACAGTTGTCTGAGCAATATAGTTTTTACAGAGAAGGAGGCACCTTTATTAAGGCTAAACATTATTAAATACCCACGAGGCACTTGACTTTATATCGCATTTGCATTATTTATTAAAAATGTTTCCTTCCTGTTGAAAATAAATATATTTCTAATCTGATATGTAATGGGGAGAAAAAAAGTAGCACAAGTTCAGCAGATGGTGAATTCGAACCGGGTTGATAATCAATTGTGTCAAAAGATGTTGCTGTGCACATTACGAGGTACGCCACTCAGGCTGTGATGCTGCATAGCTCTTTAGACCCACACGGAATCTGCGCCCGCAGAATTCCACAGATTTTTCGCAGATCTTTAGCCTATCATTAATTCTGTTTATTTACTTGAGTAAATGTGTAAATCTGAATTTATTCAGTTTTTATTCAGTAATTTATTACTTTTTATTTAATATATTAAGGTGTAAGTTATGATACTCCGCTGGATACTCCCAAAATAATTGCACAGAAATCCGCAGATTTTTACCAAAATTCTCCACAGAAATAGCAAAAAACGTCCGCAGATTCCGTCTGGCCCTGCTCTTTACTCATGTTGTCTCTGTCAATCAAGCATCGATAGGCGTAAAGCATGAATAGCTTATTCCAACTAGGTGCGCTATTTGCAGTTAGCCTAAAAAAACACCCCGAAATTGTCTTTTTCTTCTCCCCCCTCGCAGGGGCCCCAAGTGCGCTCGGGCCACTGGGCCTGTGCCTATAAGGCCCATTGGTAAATCCGGCCCTGGGCGGGGCTTAAGTTCCATTTCCTGGTCAAGCCGGCACGGCTTAAGACTCTTTATCAAGATGATTCATTTGAAGCACTGTGAGTCGACTCTTTTATAAATGAATCAACAGTTTTAAACACTGCACACTTGCAGATTTAAGTCTTAGCTGAATAATTCACTTCACTTAGAGCTGTGTTACACAATACATGGAAGGTCATTCTCAAAAACCCATAATAGGGGCTCTGTAAAAAAAAAAAAAGAAGAAGAATAAACTGAACTGTCTAACTCGAGGGAATGTAACATGAGCATATTTGCAAGTAGTTGTGTGGTTTACCCAAAAAGGAAACTTCTGTCATCATTTCTGATGAGTTTTTTTTACTCTGTTGAACACAAAAGAAGATATTTTTAATAATGCTGAAAACATGAACATTGACTTCCATAGTAGTTATTTTTCCTGCAATAGAAGTCAATAGCTAGAGGTTTTCAGCATTATTGAAAATGTCTTCTTTTGTGTTTAACAGAAGAAAGAAACTCATAACGAGTTCAAATATGCAGAGGGTGAGTAAATGATGGAATCATTTTTATTTTTACTATTGATTTCACTGTTAATTTATGTTATTGAGTTTAATTTAAAAGCCTCACAAAAATACTTTATTCATTCATTCGTTTATTTTCTTTTCGGCTCAGTCCCTTTATTAATCTGGGGTCACCACAGCGGAATGAACCGCCAACTTATCCAGCATATGTTTTTACGCAGCGGATGCCCTCCCAGCTGCAACCCATCTCTGGGAAACATACATACATACTCATTCACACTCATACACTACGGACAATTTAGCCTACTCAATTCACCTGTACCGCATGTCTTTGGACTGTGGGGGAAACCATTGCACTCGGAGAAAACCCACGCATACGCAGGAAGAACATGCAAACTCCACACAGAAATGCCAACTGACTCAGCCGAGGCTCGAACCAGCGACTTTCTTGCTGTGTGGTGACAGCACTACCTACTGCGTCGCCAAATTACTTTATTATTTGATATAAAACTATATATTTTTTATTTATCAAAATAATTTCCAATTATTAAAAAGCCTTTTCAGTGTCAGTTTTCAGCCAAATGCATCTAGAATTTTCAGTTTCAATCAACAAGCTTCATTTCGGTGCTTCCCTAATCTTGCTATAAGAGGGTCTTTTTGCATTGCACAACTCAAAAACAAGGCGGCAAAACATCGAATTATTATAAACATTTTAAATTATAAACATTTAATTACTATAAAAATAGAACCAAACATTTTTCCCCAAATTCTCAAAAAAATTATTAACAAAATTATTGTTATCAGACATTTAAAAAATACTTATTTAACGTGTTGAAGCAACTCAATTCTTAAGTTTATTGGGGGCAACTTGACTGTTTTATGTTCAACTCACTTACATTTATAAAAACAATCAAGTTAACCTAATTCTTTACTTTTTTATCATTTCTATTGTTAAAACATTCTCACATTTCGCAGGGTTGTAAAACCCAACAATGTTTTAACACTACACATATATTTAGAATATTTTTTGTTAATTCGGTTTAATTTCTGAATGTTAAGTAATCAAAAGTGGTAGTTGTAGTTGTTGTTGTTGTTATTAATAATGCTGTTGTCATTTTCACTGACATTATTACTATCATTATTATTATTGTACTATCTATCTATTATATGTTTTATTTAAATCTTTATTATTCTTGCTTCATTTTTTTGAATTGTTGTATATTTTTATGTTCTCTTGTGTATATACTTTGTTTGACTTGTTCACCCAGTTACCTTTACATGCGCGCGCTCAACAGGATTGTTTTTTTCAGCAGGGTGTTTTATGTTGATTTTCTCTATAGAGACTTTTTGGATCACTTGTTTCTATTTTAAGGTGACCAGATGGTTTTAGTTTCAGTTGTGTTTGGGAATTGTGACTAATATTACACTCTTTCTTTCAGACACCCCTTTTCTGGCCGCGAGGTTCCCATCTCGAATGGTTCTGGCTTTATAATAAGTAGTGATGACCTGATAGTGACAAATGGCCATGTGGTCGCCAACAAGCGTGGTGTTTGTGTCAAACTGACCAATGTTGAGACTTACAACACCACAGTTCAGGATGTGGACCAGGCTGCAGACATCGCCACCATCAAAATCAATGTTAAGGTACAGATGGAGCTTTGAGGTTGTACTGTTAACATATGTAATCTTTTGGGGATATTTAATTTTTTAATTAGGGATGCACCGATCCTGATACTTGGATTGGATATTGGTTTGGTACTGCATATTTTTACTGCAAATCCCATCTTGCACGTGCTCTATATTCTGTGTAATTTATAAGCAAACAAAAGCCAGAAAGGTAGCTTTTTATAAGACAGTAGAAAGTTGTCTTGTTGGCCTACTGTATCCCAAATGTTTTGAAGCCATTCTATAGTTTAATGTGAAGTGCAGATCAATATTCACATGGTTAAATTCATGTTCAGTTCTGCGCTTCCCTCCGCTGCGCCTGTCAATCATTCTCCATTTATTTACAATTCAAACTGCGTGTCACGTTCATGACAACATGAAAAACTTTCTCCAACACTATTTGTTCCTGTTAATTTAAATAAATATTAATTTATTATATTACATTATATTAATTTATTATAATATAATATATATTATATTGGTTCATTTCGACTTGAAACGACGAGTTCATTGCTGTTTCTAAATCATGTAGCAGTTAGATCAGCAGATCGCATTCGCAACACTGGAACTGAGTGGATTACTACCTGCTCTTCACACACAAAGTAGGCCTACCTGAAATGTAAAACTAGAAAAGGCTCAATAATACATTGGACAGATCCTTAACGCACTGATTTCTTCCCTTTTTACTGCTGTTTTGGATTGGAAGTGTCTGCAGATAACGGAGGACTGCACGGTGTCTCAGTGATGCATCAAGCACTTCATTCACACACCGGCTGATGTGACGTGTGCCGCTCTGTAAAATTATTCTGTAACATTAAAAGTTTCTGTTTTCTCATCCTTCCGACTGAGTTTATTCTTTCGAGGGGAATACTTTTAGGGTAGTTTGTAAGCCTGGCTCATTGTGGTCAAAGTTGTTGATTAAATTAATAAAAGTGAAACTGACAGGCACAATATAGATTTTAATTAACAGAAAATTATTTAGCCTAGTACCGGCTGCTCTGAAAACTGTGAATATTTGACTGTAATTTTATTTATATCAATAGTTTATTTAACAGACCAGTTTGTGTTTTGATTAGGGTCAATAGTGGTAGCCTGTTGCAGAGTTACTATTAAAAAAAGGAAACATAAGCTGGACCACATCACCATAGAAACTGTATTATGCTTAAAAAAATGGCACAGTATCAGGATCGGATCTGTATTGGTCGATACTCACAATTTTGGGATCGAAATCGAATCAGTTCCAAAAAGATGGTATCGGTGCATCATTGTTTTTATTGAGTCATAGTTTTATATGGTAAGAACAAGGACTTATTTTATTTCATTATTTACCTTTTTAGTAAAAGGTCTTTCAAAATTGAATCACAGGTCAGAATCAAAATTGTGTCACTGTTAGTACATTAAAAGTGTGAGGTCAATATGATTTTTAATATTTTAATGGCTCTACATTAACTTTTTTGATCACCAGCCTCTATGGCTAGTAGTTTTTCAACTTTACTAGCCACTCGCCATTTTCACTTTTGTTGTTGGGAAAATATATTTTTAAAATTACTTGATTTAGATGTGTTGTGTATGACTTTGCTCAATGAGCATGAGCTGTAGTGGTTTCATGGTGTTGCTTTGTAATTATTTCAGGGCTCAACATTAAGGTTGTACCAATTTTTTCTCTGACCACACTGGAAAATAAATAAATAAATAAATAAATAAATATTTCTTAGCCAAAAATGTTAAATAATTTTAAAATTTCAAAAACTAGCGAAATATATGTTATAATATGCATACACTTTTTATTAAATAAAACTTAAATAACAATTATTGTCATGTAGCCTGTCTAAAACTATGAAAAGTAGTCTGTCCTAGCTCCAAGACCAAGGTCTCAGATCAGCAGTTAACTATACATTAAATTTAATCTATTAAATCAATGTTACTGAAAAGAATGATAATTAAACCATATTAACAAAAAGAAAGCAGGTGAAAAACATACCGTGTGCAATAATAAAAGGATGATCAAACGCACACAGTTAACGTTAGGCCCATTAATAATCTGTTCAAAGATTGTTTAAAGCTAAAGCTGAAACCGCTGCTGCATACATAAAATACCTTCTTTTTTTTATCTCGAGCTCTTGAAAATGGTGGATGTGTATCGCTTTTTGTGAAGTCTATTTCAAACAGAACCGATCGCAGCATTGTGTTTCCAGTCAAGGTTGCTTCACGCAGGGCAATGGGATCGTGCACGCTTTGTAAAACTTGTGCGCATCACATAACATTCTGTATTCATCTGCTTTCTTTTGCTTGCGTGAACAGTTGTTTTTGTCAGTCGGGCTGCTTCTCATTTCTAGAGGTTCATCCTTATTGTTGAACCCTGCTTTTAAAAAAAATACAATTTAAAAATGATTTTCGACCAGCCAAAGTGGCTAGTGGGAGTGGCTGTCTAATCCGCCACAGCCGAAGTCTACCTGCGGTTGGTGGGTGTTAATGTCAAGCCCTGGTGTTAACCCATTAATCTGTTTATACTGTATTTAGGCTACATACACACTGTAATATTTCAGGAGGAACGGCAGCATACAAATATGGAAATAAACTCGAAATTGTGATAACCTTAGTGACATTTGGTTTTGTATCCTCAGATTTTTAAACGCAGTAATATTACAGCAACTACAGAATATTATAGTCAACAATTTTAGGTAAACCAACAGTAACAGAGGAGGCTTTTATGTTTGGAAGGCCATTTTTGCAATTGATTTTTCTCAGTTTTCTTTTACCACAGTTCTAGTACATGGCCATATAGTCTGACATAGTGTCATTGTGTTCTCTGTCTTGTCCCAGAATCCTCTACCAACAATGCGTCTTGGCAAGTCATCTGATGTGCGTCAAGGTGAATTTGTGGTTGCCATGGGGAGCCCCTTTTCTATTAAAAACACCATCACATCTGGAATCGTCAGCTCTGCTCAAAGAGGCAGTAAAGAACTGGGTCTCTCCAACTCCAACATGGACTACATCCAGACGGACGCTACCATAGATGTAAGAGCACTGGAAACTGGGTGGTGTTGCATGCAAAAAAATGTATGTCATCATTTAATGAATTGCATTCCATCACTCAATCACAATTCTGCTTTACAGTTTTGAAATTCAGGAGGGCCTCTCATAAACCTGGTGAGTCGCTGACATTTACTCAAAAAACTGCTTCTGCCTTTTGGTTTAAAGGGTCCAAAAACACCAAAACACATTTTTGAGATGTTGACAGTCATATATATGTCCCACGCTGCTAAAAACACTATTAGGATACATATATTTCACAATAAAAGAGAAAATTGGTTGTTTTTGCGTTATTTCGAACAAATTCGTTCTTCCGGTTTGAAAAGAAATTTTGAAGCTACGTCAAGGCCATGAGCTCCTTGTGTAAATTCCAGCATGGAGACTGGCTGTCTGTACCGGCGGGTACAATGTGACGTCTTTGAGCTTTCATCATTAATTCAAGAGAAAGACGAACCAATCAGTCCTGTCTCTACGGATTTGGTAAGTAAGCAATTGGTGTTCGTTGTTATTCAGATGGCGAAGTAGGCCATTAAAACTACACTCTTCTAGCAGTTCCTCGGATCCAATATGTCGTTTGTCGTGGGGGGCACGCATGAAATGTTCTTGAATGAAAATGAAAGTGCCAAACTGCAGTTAAAGTCGACAAATTAAGAATGAAACTCCCCAAAATTACATGACACTCCGGAGGAAACGTGGATAGCGTGGTGACACAATGACGTTAATCGTATTATGTGCTTTAACATGTAAAACGGGATCATGAAAGGAACATTCAAAAAGCAACTCATGTAAACACCTTAGTCATATTGTTGTTTTGATCAGATTAAGGCAAATAGTTAGATTACTGATGTCCACAAAATCATTACTTTATCTGTTAAACCGACAAGTGAAACACAAACTACTCTCCTGTCTTCATTTGGAATAAAACTTCCAATTAACTCAACACAAGCAAAGACAATTGTAGGCATAATAGTAGGAGTATTAGAGTAGGAGTATTTATAGCCACAGACATGCAACCTTTTTCAGGGGTAGAAAACTCTGGTTTTAGGCATTTAATTAGTGTGCTAGAACCACACTACGAAATCCCAAGTAGAACGTATCTCACAGCTACGGTGGTACCCTCCTTGTACAATAATGTGAAGGAGAAAGTTATTAGTGCACATTTAGTAGTTGACTACAGATTGCTGAACCTTCAGAGCAACACAGAGCTTCATGACTGCCATTTTAAGAACGTGAATTGTTTTCAAATGTTCATCAATATTGTATTGTACTGGCCATACTCAAGCCTTATGTAATAAACTGATGTATCATGTTTGTACTCTTCAGGATGGTGAGGTCATCGGCATTAATACCATGAAAGTGACAGCAGGGATTTCCTTCGCTATTCCCTCAGACAGAGTCCGTCTCTTCCTTGACCGATCTGCAGACAAACAGAGTAAGAATGACCTCACAGCTGCTTGCTTTTGTCTGTGACAGCATTTTTTTTCACTGACAGATGGTTATTGGGTCTTTTTTTCAGAGTCTTGGTTTGGAGAATCGGGATGGAAAAGGCGTTACATTGGAGTGATGATGTTGACTTTGACCCCCAGGTGCCAAACACTTTTATTACAATTTTACAGGAGAGCAAAATTCATACATTATGGAATCTGCAGACTTTTGTTATATACCACTAGATTTGGCTCTTAGAAATTCAAGTGCTGGAATACCTGGAAAATTGGCTTGTTCTGTTGAAAAGTGCTTAATTTATCAAGGAGAATTTGTTTGCAATTTTCACGCCCGAAAAATAAAAATGTTTGTGAATTTTTGTGACAATTTAATGCAAAAATACCCGCACAATCTACCGTGATTCCGACGCAGTGATTTAAATGATATGAGAAGTGGCCAATCACAGTCAACCTTGTCTAGATTTACATTGAACGTAAGGGCAGGACAAAGGCCTTTCTGTGTTGCAGTGACAGAAAAAAACTACTTAAAAACAAATGTTTTAATGGAAAAATGCTTTTGGGATGTTTTCACTATATGTTATTAGCAAGAGTAATTAAACCACGGACATACTTCCTGCCATTTCAACGATCTACACACACATTTTTCTCTCTTCTCTCCGCTCTCTTCTTCTGACTTGTCTGTCACTCCTCTAAATGTTGGCGTGGGAATGCAGGTATTGCGCAATTACTCATTTCTGCATACGTCGTGAGCGCTTTATTTTAACATGAGAGCGCAGTCATGTACATTAATCATAAAAACAGATATGTGACCTCTTAAATAGGCTTTTTCAAATTAACTGCAAGTCCTCTCATCATCTCGTGTGTGTGATCAGACTGTATACAATCGCTATCTCTTCAATATTAAAGTAGAAATTATTTATCTTAGCTCCTTGACTAAATTTAGTATTTAGAGTACAGACTTTTTATTTGGCTGTATCGTCAAGTGAAACTTACTTTGAGCAAAGTTGGGACTTTTTATATTTTTTTAAGACAAAAGAATTATGCTAGAAATGTTTCTGTTTGGGGTATTTGTGGGATTTATACATTATAGCTGTATTCTGATCTGTCTTAAAGCATCACTGAATTGTACAGGCATTACAGGTCAAAGCAATCTGCTGTTACATTTATCATAATAAACAATAAGACTCTTCAAACACTGCTTTGAAAAATGTAGTGTTGTCATAATTCAAATACCTAGAGTTAAACAACATTTGCTTTATTATTTTATTACTGACAGTGTAGTAGTCTTTCTTGTAAAATTATTTCAGTTTAAGATCAAGTGTAAAATAATATTTCCATGTGCTGTACAGCTATTTAAGAAACAAATTTGCCATATTGTAAAGACAAGAATGAGCAAATAAGAAAAATGGTGTAAAATATGTAAATAAAAGGCTAAATTTAAATATTTTTATCATATACTTTAATTAAACCTTTCAAAACTTGAAAATATTGTTTAAAAATGGACAAAATGTGTCTCTGGCCTCATAGAGTGTGGGGTTGTTTTGCCAGTACTATTGAAAAAGATTAATTGTCATGGAAGGAAAAATCGACCATACTTCCTTTGTTAGTGCACATTTTTATATATGTAGCTTTGTGATTCAAGCAATTAAACCATTCAAATAAATTTATCATCATTTCTTTTAAAAAGAGCCAAAATGAAAATCTGAGTTTTTTTCCCCAAAAAAATATCTAACTAGTACTCTGAGTAGTTTTTAAAAGAGTACTTTGTACTTTTACCCAATGTTAGTATTATTTACTAAAACTTGTATTATTTTAGCAGTGTAATAGTATAAAAAAACATTTTTACAAGCATATTTAGGGCAGGTTTAATATATTATTAATACACAATTGATTCATTAATTTTGTTATTATTATGATCATTAATGGTTTTTATTTGTATATTTATATAAATTCCTATGCAGTGTTTTAATACGTTGCGTGTCAGTGTTGAAAATAAAAATAGGTGCTGGAAAAAAGTGCTCAAAAGTCCTTGATTTTCATTAGGCTGTGCCTTTATGAGCCCTGTAAAATTCAAGATATTTAAGGTTTTAGTTTTGTATACATAATGAAGAGTTGAGCAATATCATATATTTAAATTTTTTTGTCCCAAATGACATGAGTTCAATTGTGGTATTGATTTGAACAGTTCTGTGAATAATTAAAGGTGCAGTAGGGGATCTGCCAAAATGCTAACCACTCAGCCTATTATCTTTGGACCGCGGGGAGGGACTGTGATTCAAAGCCACACGGCCTAAAATCTGCATTTGCTGACAGTTTGAGCTACTTATCTGAATTACGGGAGATGTCGACCCGACAATATTTAATTGGATGACCATTTTTTAGTTTTATGCTTTACCCATAATATAAAATACATAAAAACACATTTAGATCATTTACTTTAATCATTACTATTGGACTGTGAAGAGACTTTCAACCAGCACAACTAAAATGTTTCTGAGGACAATCACCTACTGCACCTTTAATTCAATGCATTGCAAATTAACAGCATTTCCTTTGTCACACTCTATGCGACTGAAGTAGTATGAATGTTTTGTTGAGGTGTTTTTGGTTGAAGCGAATGTAATATTGATTGTTATGCTGATCTATCTATCAAACTATCAATTTATCTATCTATGAATCTATCTATCTTTCTTATCTATTTATCAATCAATCCTTAAACTGTAAACATTCCGCTGAAGTGACTCTTTTATTATCTTTAAATTCTCTTTTTCCCCTCCTCAGTTAAATCAAAGAGCTAAGGATGCGAGACCCGTCCTTCCCTGATGTTTCTCATGGAGTTCTCATCCACCGTGTGATTGTAGGATCTCCAGCCAACAGGTGTGCTGCTCTCTGAACATGATGTTATCAGCTGTTGATTAAGGCACCCTATTGATGATGTAATTTCCTGTTTTCTGTTTTGCAGAGCCGGAATGAAGCCAGGAGATGTTATTATTGAGATCAATGGGGTAAAGGTGAACACGTCGGAGGAGATATATAATGCTGTGAGGACCAGCGAAAGCTTAAATGTGGTGGTCCGCCGGGGGGCCGGCCTGCTCATGCTGCACATGACCCCAGAGTCCACAGAGTGACATCAAGTCAAGTATTTAGTAAGATTAAGAAATGGTGAGTAATGAGAAGCTGTCATAGTTGGAGATGTTGTAAGAAAGGAATCATCTAAAGAGTTGAACAGTTTTAGCAAACGCTGGACATTCATGTAGTAAACGTGTTTCTGGAAGCGTATGAAATAATGTGGATGATTCAGACTTCTGTACACTGGATAAACCTCAGTGTGTCTGCGCAAACTACACTATCAGTATTGATTTGAAGGAATATCACTGAATATTTTGTTTAGGATTGTCATGATGGCAACAAACACTCAACGACCTTAATAAAACTGGGTGCTCTTATTGTGAAAATGCTGATGTTTTGTATTGAGTCTCACATTCTCATGTTACGACGTTTGTATTTTAATACATTTTTCTGAACAGCTCTGATTTCACAATAAACCATTGGAATATTTATGGATGATTTGCTGATGTCGCAGTGACTGATATGTTTAGGTTTTGGGTCAGCGCTGTACAGCATTCTGAAAAAGTGTATTTCTAAAAGTGCGCCGTAATGACGCCAGTGTCAACTGCAGTGTGTTGGAAAGGACTGGATGCTGTTCAAACCTCATGCCAAGTTTTTGTCACCCCATACAAAACCATTTTAAATCCACACAATCTGACAACACTGGGGCTAGATCACAATATAAGCCACAACACAAGTGAGTTCAATAAAATATATCTTTATTACAGACATGTACAAAAATCAAATATACAAAACATTCTGCTAATGTGACTCAGAACTCCAGCATGGACCAGTCGTGGTAAGGCATCTCTTCTAGAGGAATTCTGCACTCTGGATTCTCATGCAGACAAGCCCTCATCATATCACAGCATTCTGTGAAGAAGAAATGGAGAGGTGAGGTTATTGTTATTATTATTATTATTATACCGTTTTTGCTTAATTGTTCTTTGATGAACATCTCACCTTGAGAGAGGGTAAATTTGGACCAGTCATGTTGAAGGTAGTACAGGTCATACGCTGATGGGAATTCTCCATGGAGCATTGTGAACAGAAGAACCCCAAGAGAATAGACCGTCGCTGGTTTGGCCCGGTAGCATCCTTTTTCATAAAACTCTGGCGGGATGTACGCTTCTGTGCCTGGAGGAGAGACGTTTAGTTTAGCATCATGTTGAATATATATACCAGATGGGCTTCAGCTGTGCTAATTAACCAGCTTTCAATACGTATATTAAAAATGCTTATGCACATTCATAACTAGTGTTGTCAAAAGTATCAACTACCAATCGATACCGACACTCATCACAGTCATATTTGCTGAGCATGTGAACACCAATGGCCAATCAGTGGTGTTTAACAGCGCTCAAATTGACTTGTTAAATGTCAGAATCGATTGGTACCGAAGTCGATACTTTTGACCACACTATTCAAAACACCTACCAGAGAAGATACTGTAGGCTGATTCCATCATGAAGTCTCCACACCCGAAGTCGATCAGCTTGACTTCCAGTGTGTCGGGGTTCACCAGCAGGTTTTGAAGCTTAATGTCCCGGTGGAACACCCCGCGGTAACAGCACACGTTGGCCGCATAAACAGCTTGCCTCATGATGGTATGTGCTGTTTTCTCACTGAGGACTCCTCCGCTGACTTCAAGGAATGCCTCCAGGTCCATGCTTGGACTAGGCCGCTCCATCACCATGACATAATGGTTTTCAAAGACCTGCCAGTCCAGGAGCTTAATAATGTTCGCACACCTGGAGCCACCGCTGGCCATGTTTGCCAAGGTGATCTCTAGAGGAAGTGGCTGGTCACATGACTGAAAACAAAATAATAATGTTGGTTTTCAAACAAGGGTTTCTGACCACAGCCTGTGGTCTATAATAAATATAAGACTTTATAAACTGAACACAGCGAACAGAAAGTGTAGTCTACTCACAGAGCTGACATCTTGCATATTTGGGGTCTTCTGGACAAATTTAACTGCCACCTGTTTAAAGGAACAAGCCAACAATTAACATGTGCACGGAGATCATTTCATTCAGTCATAAATCCTGAACAGAGGATTCATTCGTCAGCAGAAATGTCCAAACAATGAAAGCTCTGATGATGTTCTTTAAACAGGGAACTTCATCAGAGGATTTGAGTCTACAAAAATGAATACCTGCAGACCATCCTGTATGCGAATCCCCTCATACACGGAGCCGAAACCTCCTTCACCAAGCTGCTTTCCGAGTTTGTAGCGGCAGCTGATGTCATCTGTTAAAAATGAAGAAAATGTCATTAAATTATAAACCAAATAAAAACACAAACAGTTGAAGTCAGAATTATTGTCAGATTTCAGAACATGATAGTTTTAATAACTCATTTCTAATAACTGATGTCTTTTATCTTTGTCGTGATGACAGTACATCATATTTACTGGATATTTTCAAGATACCAGTGTTCAGCTTAAAGTTCTGAATACTTAAACTTTATTGCTCTGCATCATTTGGGAAATATTTAAAAAATATTCATAAAAAATCACAGAAGAGCGAATAATTTTGACTTCAACTGTATAATTTTACAAAGTTTGATGAGCCTAAACAAATGTTCTGAACTCCAGCAATAAACTTACTATTGTCCAAGCAGGTCCCATCATCTGCTGTAGACTTCACAGCAGAGTCCTCTTGTGAGACCTGATCCGGTAAAGGGTTCGAGTTTTCATCCAGGGCAGAGTCACAGATGTCATCTGTTATGAGCTGCTGGCTCACTGGAAGTTCATTGTCCTCATCGGATGGTGAACTTGGAGGACTATCAAGCTCTTGCTCCAGGCTGTCCTCGCTGAGGGAGGATTCATTGTCTGCTGGGAAGTGAAGCTCTGCAGAGTCGTTCTCAATGACCACTGCAGAGTCAAAGCTGTTCACTTCAGGTTTAGAGTCCAAGTCTTCGTCTGCTGGATCATCAAGAGCTGGAGGTTGGAGAACTTCCAGCTCCAGGTTGCTCACAGCAGTGCAGAAGAATTTAGAGCTACTGATGGGCTCTGCGTGAAGTTCGTGGATCTCCTGCACACATAGCTGATCTAAAGAGAGGAAGGAACATCATTAATATGACTCTACAACTCTTTTTGACAAGATATTTGAACAGTTCATTTGCAGAAACATTACTCAATGTGTTTTTATTGATGATCTTCAAGGTTTTTCTGCATTGAATTATCAAACAAGTAAACTATATATCTAAAGGCAAAGCTCACTGAAATAAAAAATCCTAATACAAATAATTCTTATTTTTTCTGTTTTTTACACAAAACTACAAATTCTGAAGAAAATTCCTGAAATCAGCAGCCATTAACCTTCATTGTAGGAACACAAAATACTGTGGAAGTCAATGGCTGAAAGCACCTCAAACAGGTTTAAGGAGTAAATTATGACAGAATTGTCTTGTTTATGTGAACTGTGGCTTTAAGAAACTATCTTTCTAAAATGTCTTCCAGTTAATGTTCATTTCTGATCTTTAAACACTTATGTGATGTGTTTGGTGTGTTTAACAGTATGCTTTAGTAATTAAAAGTGCTCATAAATCTATTTTACCAACAACAGTAGCTCTTCTTCTGGAAACACAGGCGAAGAAGATGGGAGACAATTTGAGTTTCCTCTTTTTCTGTCTCCCTGCCTGTTTTCCTGCAGCGACGGCCGGGTCATCGGTCATCAGATGACGGTGATTCTCTGTCGTGCTGCCGGTGGGTTCGAGTGGCTCACACGGTTGTTCGTTCGCACACTTAACACCAAACGCTTTCTTCAGACGGTTAATCAGTTTTGAAAATGCCATTTTATCACTGTACTGTTGAATCGCAGAAAGTACTGAACTACTAGACATCCAAAGAAGCTAATGAGAGTTTCTGCTACGTCAAAAAGCTTTATACTGTCACCGATGATGTCAGAGTTCCACAATTCCATTTGGTATTACGTAGAGACTTTTTAAAACACAACAAACTTCTAATGAAAGCCCGCGCTAGACTGACTGGCTCATTCGCCTTAATGTGCTCACACAGCCACCTGCTTATACACATTTTTTCAAATTATTAATTAAATTAATTTCGCACTTAGACCTATGTATTTTTTTTCTGTCATGCACAACTTTTTCTGCGCTTTGCTTTTTATTAGAATTATTACCATGTTTATATATATTTATGCGTGTGTGTGTGTGTGTGTGTGTGTGTGTGTGTGTGTGTGTGTGTGTGTGTGTGTGTGTGTGCGTGTGCGTATGCATGTGTGTGTATGATTCATTTATTTTGAGTAGCTCATTTCAGTTATTTTATATTTTCATGATCAATTATTTATCATTTTAACAGTATTATTATTATCGTTTATATTATATTTTATATATTATGATTATATAAATTCGTTATTTTTGTGAATTCTTTTTAAATGAATAATGCTTCAAATAATAAATTAAAAAGAAAAATATGCAACAAAATGAAGTTATGTATTACCTGAAATCGCCAGTAGGTGGTGGTAGGACACTGTCTTAAGTGAATAAGACATTTATTCAGCAACAAAGCAACTGTTGTATTTATGAATAGGTCAAGGATGAATCGACTCTCACAATTCATTTAAATCATAGATTCATTCTCAAAAAATAACCCACTCTAGCCTAAATAAGGACTGAACCGATGTGAACAGGTAGGAATAATGATCAAATTCTTGTGGATTAAACCTCTTTGTTGACATTAATTGCAGTAGATTTTATTAAGTTACAACAAAAGGTAGGAAATGGTTTTAATTGCGAACTGTACTTGTTTTATGTGTGAACATGCTACATGCTAACACCGTCACAGCATTCCAGTCAACTAATTTAGAGCTACTAACGTTAGTCAACAGTCCCCGCCTTCACTTAGTGAAAAATGCAAGTTAAAAAGAAAAAATAACATAAATAAAATAAACAATTACAAATTAAACCAATGAATATTAAAGTAAGTGTAATTAGATCTAACGTTTATTACTGTATGTCACAGGCTAGTAGCGCTTATTAGCATTTGATGCTAATGCTAACATTGATGCAACTTAATGTAAATATTAATGTTATATTTACGGTACTGTAACTTTAAACTAACTATTGTTTTACTTAAAAGCTTGATCAAACCTTTAACATTAACATCAGTCAGATTAATTGCTATTTGAGTGATTCTGTTAAAATTAACTTACATTTGTTTCTGTCTAGTTAACTTTAGGAACTATACAGGGAGAGGAATTATTTAGTTTAATATTACAGAAACTCGATTTTTATTTTCTATATTTTTCTTAGGCCACAGTTTGAAATGCCATTCTGCAGGCTGAAATGGCATATTTAACACAATTAACCTCGACTTTACTACAAGAAATACAGTCAGGTTTATTTTTTGAGGATAAATGTAAGTTTACTTTAGTAAAACTATGTTTTTGTCTTATTGGCTAAATGGGCTCATGAAAGTGTTTCACATAGAAATAAATAAATAATAATTAATAATAATAATTCCTTACATTTATATAGCACGTTTCCTGCACACTCAAAGTGCTTTACGCATTGGTGGAACATGTTTCCTGAAAGACATTTTGAAATGGAAACGATATTTTTCTTTCCCATTTATTGATGATATTTGGTCAACAATACATTTTTACGCCCAAATCAGGTAGAAGAAATTCATTTCAAAATATTACACAGGTACTACTATCCCTGCAATATATTTAATAATAAATAATAATAATAATAATAATAATAAATTCACAAAAATGTTCTTTTTGTACTTGTAAATTTTCTGATGATTTTTGGAAACAGGTTTCAGGGTTGATTTTTGATTAATTTGGAGATATGCTGTAGAGAGAGGAATCATTAAAAGGCCAGAAGTGAAAATTCTGTTGTTATTTACTCCAAACATGCTTGCGTTCTTGTGATATTTTGAGAAGTCAGTGGTCCTTCACTGATTATAAAAACACACACACGCACACACGCACACACACACACACGCACAAACACACACACACACACACACACACACACACACACACACACACACACACATTTTGAGTCTCTATGCAGTTACATTGACTGTAATTTAAGTTATGAAAGGAAACAATATACTTTTTTTTGTTTTATATTAATTATGACGTATTTAAAGGAAGGCTTTTTGGCAAATAGGCTCATTTTTCAAGTCACTCAGAGTTAAACTGTTGTGTTTGATAATTTTAATCCGTTCAGCTGATCTCTGGGTCTAACAAATAGTCCAAAATCCTTGATTATTACTGCAGAATGAGAGTATAGCAAAGATTATAGAATACACATGACGTGTCACTCGTATACTTTTGACTGGGAAAAGTGAAACAGTCAATAGGCGAATGAAGCCCCGCCTTCTAGTACAGGAGCCAATCAGTGATTGATATATGGCAAATAAAGCCCACCATTTAGTACATGAGCCAATCAGCGATCAGTATAGAATGACAATTCTCCAGGGGAGGGGCTTGGACTAGATGTGAGTTTCTGCAGATATTGTGTGATATGGACATTTATAAATGAAACTAAAAGGACAGTTACTGTTTAATTTTATTGGTTTTTCATAGTATGTAATGTAATCGTAATCTTGGCAAGCAGTTTTGAAGAATTTGATTTACCCATTCAAACAGAATGCCCATGTATACTTCCCGAGAGGCGTATAGGTATAGTTACTAGCCATGTCAAGCTCGAACATAGCAGCTATTCATTTCCATCAGTCTTGGTGCATACTTTAACTACACAAGAGTCAAGTTTTACTTTAAAAACTCTTTGGAATTTTTTGAGCGAGATGCTAATGGTCTAATCTGATTCAAGGATCTATGCTAAGCTAAGCTAAAAGTTCTTCTGTCAGACCCGGAGTTTGTCTGAATGGATTTAAAGAGCCCCTATTATACATTAAAAAGGGTGGGGGGGGGGTCTCCAACAACAGGCTGATGTGCATTCAAGGTCAAAGAACACTTTCATTGTCTTAGAATATGCATTTATTTTTACCAAATTATGGCAGCGACTCTCATATGATTATTTAGCAATTAATTTGTTTCTACACCCCTCCCTAACGCGATGCTAATCTGCGCTGATTGGTCCTATTGTACTCTGTTGTGATTGGTCAACAGCGTTCAGCGTGAGATGGAGAGAAATGGCCACCATGGCTTATCAACAATATTGAAGTAGTCAGAGTGCAGAGTGTATGTGTGAGTATACCTGCCAACACTCACGTTTTTATTTCGGGAGTCTCCTGTAATTTCAGACCCATCTCCCACCACCCTCCCGTTTTGTTATTTATCCCGGAAACTGATGATGGCCATAGCAACGACAAGTGCCAGAGGATTGTGCATTTAAATGCAAACGCATTTAAATCCGTAAACAAAGCGGCATGCGTCACATTTTCATCATGGCATTAGACGTGATATGAGAATATAAAGAGTTAACCAGATTCACTACAAGCGGTTATAAGTAGCAAAAAACAATTAAATACATAATTTGTAGAGAAAACAAAGAGGCAACCATTTTAATTGCACATACTTACACTTGTGAAATAGAGGAAGAAACTGATCCATAAACTGTGTACTGTAAAGTTCCTGTCGAGCTCTGACAAAGTCCCATACGTCAACAGACTTTTCTGATCTAAAGCACTCATCAGAAAAATGACAGGAACACAGCACAAGCCTGGGCTGTAATGTTGAGGTATTTTTGCCAAAATAAACCTCAACCACTGACTCTTCACTGTTTCAGCTTTGAGTAGAGAAAATAACACTAACTTTCCCCTCACACTTCAGAGCACAGCGTCTTCGCAACATGATTCAACTGGCGTCTGCTGCAGTGTCCTTCTTCTTTTTCTTTGCTACTGTGTTTGTGGGCGGGGCTGGTTTTTTTAACATTTTCCCGGGATTGCGCGTGCAACAAATAGGCGGGTCCAGGCCCGGATTAAGAACTCAGGAGCTCCTGGGCACATTATCTTGTAAGGCCCCCTACCTGGCCCTACCTCTAAAGTTGAATTTAAAAAATAATAATAATATAATATTTTTTATTAAAATGAATCTATAATTTGTTGCCCACATATTTAAATAAATGATATATAGTACATATGTATTTACAAAGATTTAACTTATTTTTCAAAGCATTGAATAAAAATACTAATAAAATGAATGTTTTTTTAGTATACTTGTACAAGTTCACTGAAACAGTACTATATATCATTTTTTAAGGGTAGTTTTAATGTAGAGCTTTTACAAACTGATAGAGCATATTGTTTGCATGGCACAGGCTATATCACACAATGCCTCTCCAATAATACACACACTTATTAATGATTTACTGTCTCTCTCTTCCTCTCCCTGTATTCTCTCTACTCTTCTCGTGATGAAGAGTTGGCAAACAGCATAGATCAACTTGATTATAAACCTAAAAGTATCCGAAAATCACACACACTATACCTCTTCTCCTCTCCGGTCTCTCTCCTCTTCGGGGCCTTTCTCTCTCCCTCTCTCTCTCCTTTTTCTATCTGTTTCTCTCACGATGAATCCAGTCCGCGCTGCGCTGCTGTTAGCCTCCTCCGCCTGGTTAATGCTAGCTTACTGATCTAACGTTACCATAACGTCTTCTTCTATACCCTCATCCTCCTGATCATGGGTCTGTTTGAAGAAGGTGTGTATGGAAAATGCCTCAATAAAGATGCCTCCTCTCCTCTTTCTCTCGCGTTTGCTAAATCCACTTGTCCACTCATTTTTGATACATGATAAATACTAACGTTACACTACAGTCCGCTCAGTTAAGTGCGGGTTATTTCAAAACTGATGTTTCCACACTTGACCAATTACAGCATTCTGTTTAGTTAAAGAAAGAAAGACAATTTCAACATAATAATAATAGTTATATGTGATTTTTTTGCTCAGATGAAATACAGTTGTCTGAGCAATATAGTTTTTACAGAGAAGGAGGCACCTTTATTAAGGCTAAACATTATTAAATACCCACGAGGCACTTGACTTTATATCGCATTTGCATTATTTATTAAAAATGTTTCCTTCCTGTTGAAAATAAATATATTTCTAATCTGATATGTAATGGGGAGAAAAAAAGTAGCACAAGTTCAGCAGATGGTGAATTCGAACCGGGTTGATGATCAATCGCGTCAAAAGATGTTGCTGTGCACATTACGAGGTACGCCACTCAGGCTGTGATGCTGCATAGCTCTTTAGACCCACACGGAATCTGCGCGCACAGAATTCCACAGATTTTTCGCAGATTTTTAGCCTATCATTAATTCTGTTTATTTACTTGAGTAAATGTGTAAATCTGAATTTATTCAGTTTTTATTCAGTAATTTATTACTTTTTATTTAATATATTAAGGTGTAAGTTATGATACTCCGCTGGATACTCCCAAAATAATTGCACAGAAATCCGCAGATTTTTACCAAAATTCTCCACAGAAATAGCAAAAAACGTCCGCAGATTCCGTCTGGCCCTGCTCTTTACTCATGTTGTCTCTGTCAATCAAGCATCGATAGGCGGAAAGCATGAATAGCTTATTCCAACTAGGTGCGCTATTTGCAGTTAGCTTAAAAAAACACCCCGAAATTGTCTTTTTCTTCTCCCCCCTCGCAGGGGCCCCAAGTGCGCTCGGGCCACTGGGCCTGTGCCTATAAGGCCCATTGGTTAATCCGGCCCTGAGCGGGGCTTAAGTTCCATTTCCTGGTCACGCCGGCACGGCTTAAGACTCTTTATCAAGATGATTCATTTGAAGCACTGTGAGTCGACTCTTTTATAAATGAATAAACAGTTTTAAACACTGCACACTTGCAGATTTAAGTCTTAGCTGAATAATTCACTTCACTTAGGGCTTTGTTACACAATACATGGAAGGTCATTCTCAAAAACCCATAATAGGGGCTCTGTAAAAAAAAAAAAAAAGAAGAAGAATAAACTGAACTGTCTAACTCGAGGGAATGTAACATGAGCATATTTGCAAGTAGTTGTGTGGTTTACCCAAAAAGGAAACTTCTGTCATCATTTCTGATGAGTTTTTTTTACTCTGTTGAACATAAAAGAAGATATTTTTAATAATGCTGAAAACATGAACATTGACTTCCATAGTAGTTATTTTTCCTGCAATAGAAGTCGATAGCTAGAGGTTTTCAGCATTATTGAAAATGTCTTCTTTTGTGTTTAACAGAAGAAAGAAACTCATAACGAGTTCAAATATGCAGAGGGTGAGTAAATGATGGAATCATTTTTATTTTTACTATTGATTTCACTATTAATTTATGTTATTGAGTTTAATTTAAAAGCCTCACAAAAATACTTTATTCATTCATTCGTTTATTTTCTTTTCGGCTCAGTCCCTTTATTAATCTGGGGTCACCACAGCGGAATGAACCGCCAACTTATCCAGCATATGTTTTTACGCAGCGGATGCCCTCCCAGCTGCAACCCATCTCTGGGAAACATACATACATACTCATTCACACTCATACACTACGGACAATTTAGCCTACTCAATTCACCTGTACCGCATGTCTTTGGACTGTGGGGGAAACCATTGCACTCGGAAAAAACCCACGCATACGCAGTAAGAACATGCAAACTCCACACAGAAATGCCAACTGACTCAGCCGAGGCTCGAACCAGCGACTTTCTTGCTGTGTGGTGACAGCACTACCTACTGCGTCGCCAAATTACTTTATTATTTGATATAAAACTATATATTTTTTATTTATCAAAATAATTTCCAATTATTAAAAAGCCTTTTCAGTGTCAGTTTTCAGCCAAATGCATCTAGAATTTTCAGTTTCAATCAACAAGCTTCATTTCGGTGCTTCCCTAATCTTGCTATAAGAGGGTCTTTTTGCATTGCACAACTCAAAAACAAGGCGGCAAAACATCGAATTATTATAAACATTTTAAATTATAAACATTTAATTACTATAAAAATAGAACCAAACATTTTTCCCCAAATTCTCAAAAAAATTATTAACAAAATTATTGTTATCAGACATTTAAAAAATACTTATTTAACGTGTTAAAGCAACTCAATTCTTAAGTTTATTGGGGGCAACTTGACTGTTTTATGTTCAACTCACTTACATTTATAAAAACAATCAAGTTAACCTAATTCTTTACTTTTTTATCATTTCTATTGTTAAAACATTCTCACATTTCGCAGGGTTGTAAAACCCAACAATGTTTTAACACTACACATATATTTAGAATATTTTTTGTTAATTCGGTTTAATTTCTGAATGTTAAGTAATCAAAAGTGGTAGTTGTAGTTGTTGTTGTTGTTATTAATAATGCTGTTGTCATTTTCACTGACATTATTACTATCATTATTATTATTGTACTATCTATCTATTATATGTTTTATTTAAATCTTTATTATTCTTGCTTCATTTTTTTGAATTGTTGTATATTTTTATGTTCTCTTGTGTATATACTTTGTTTGACTTGTTCACCCAGTTACCTTTACATGCGCGCGCTCAACAGGATTGTTTTTTTCAGCAGGGTGTTTTATGTTGATTTTCTCTATAGAGACTTTTTGGATCACTTGTTTCTATTTTAAGATGACCAGATGGTTTTAGTTTCAGTTGTGTTTGGGAATTGTGACTAATATTACACTCTTTCTTTCAGACACCCCTTTTCTGGCCGCGAGGTTCCCATCTCGAATGGTTCTGGCTTTATAATAAGTAGTGATGACCTGATAGTGACAAATGGCCATGTGGTCGCCAACAAGCGTGGTGTTTGTGTCAAACTGACCAATGTTGAGACTTACAACACCACAGTTCAGGATGTGGACCAGGCTGCAGACATCGCCACCATCAAAATCAATGTTAAGGTACAGATGGAGCTTTGAGGTTGTACTGTTAACATATGTAATCTTTTGGGGATATTTAATTTTTTAATTAGGGATGCACCGATCCTGATACTTGGATTGGATATTGGTTTGGTACTGCATATTTTTACTGCAAATCCCATCTTGCACGTGCTCTATATTCTGTGTAATTTATAAGCAAACAAAAGTCAGAAAGGTAGCTTTTTATAAGACAGTAGAAAGTTGTCTTGTAGGCCTACTGTATCCCAAATGTTTTGAAGCCATTCTATAGTTTAATGTGAAGTGCAGATCAATATTCACATGGTTAAATTCATGTTCAGTTCTGCGCTTCCCTCCGCTGCGCCTGTCAATCATTCTCCGTTTATTTACAATTCAAACTGCGTGTCACGTTCATGACAACATGAAAAACTTTCTCCAACACTATTTGTTCCTGTTAATTTAAATAAATATTAATTTATTATATTACATTATATTAATTTATTATAATATAATATATATTATATTGGTTCATTTCGACTTGAAACGACGAGTTCATTTCTGTTTCTAAATCATGTAGCTGTTAGAACAGCAGATCGCATTCGCAACACTGGAACTGAGTGGGTTATTACCTGCTCTTCACACACAAATAGGCCTACCTGAAATGTAAAACTAGAAAAGGCTCAATAATACATTGGACAGATCCTTAACGCACTGATTTCTTCCCTTTTTACTGCTGTTTTGGATTGGAAGTGTCTGCAGATAACGGAGGACTGCGCGCTGTCTCAGTGATGCATCAAGCACTTCATTCACACACCGGCTGATGTGACGTGTGCCGCTCTGTAAAATTATTCTGTAACATTAAAAGTTTCTGTTTTCTCATCCTTCCGACTGAGTTTATTCTTTCGAGGGGAATACTTTTAGGGTAGTTTGTAAGCCTGGCTCATTGTGGTCAAAGTTGTTGATTAAATTAATAAAAGTGAAACTGACAGGCACAATATAGATTTTAATTAACAGAAAATTATTTAGCCTAGTACCGGCTGCTCTGAAAACTGAATATTTGACTGTAATTTTATTTATATCAATAGTTTATTTAACAGACCAGTTTGTGTTTTGATTAGAGTCAATAGTGGTAGCCTGTTGCAGAGTTCAAAGAAAAATCTTACTATTAAAAAAGGAAACATAAGCTGGACCACATCACCATAGAAACTGTATTATGCTTAAAAAAATGGCACAGTATCAGGATCGGATCTGTATTGGTCGATACTCACAATTTTGGGATCGAAATCGAATCAGTTCCAAAAAGATGGTATCGGTGCATCATTGTTTTTATTGAGTCATAGTTTTATATGGTAAGAACAAGGACTTATTTTATTTCATTATTTACCTTTTTAGTAAAAGGTCTTTCAAAATTGAATCACAGGTCAGAATCAAAATTGTGTCACTGTTAGTACATTAAAAGTGTGAGGTCAATATGATTTTAATGTTTTTTATGGCTCTACATTAACTTTTTTGATCACCAGCCTCTATGGCTAGTAGTTTTTCAACTTTACTAGCCACTCGCCATTTTCACTTTTGTTGTTGGGAAAATATATTTGCAAAATTACTTGATTTAGATGTGTTGTGTATGACTTTGCTCAATGAGCATGAGCTGTAGTGGTTTCATGGTGTTACTTTGTAATTATTTCAGTGCTCAACATTAAGGTTGTACCAATTTTTTCTCTGACCACACTGGAAAATAAATAAATAAATAAATTAATTAATATTTCTTAGCCAAAAATGTTAAATAATTTTAAAATTTTAAAAACTAGCGAAATATATGTTATAATATGCATACACTTTTTATTAAATAAAACTTAAATAACAATTATTGTCATGTAGCCTGTCTAAAACTATGAAAAGTAGTCTGTCCTAGCTCCAAGACCAAGGTCTCAGATCAGCAGTTAACTATACATTAAAGTTAATCTATTAAATCAATATTACTTTAAAGAATGATAATTAAACCATATTAACAAAAAGAAAGCAGGTGAAAAACATACCGTGTGCAATAATAAAAGGATGATCAAACGCACACAGTTAACGTTAGGCCCATTAATAATCTGTTCAAAGATTGTTTAAAGCTAAAGCTGAAACCGCTGCTGCATACATAAAATACCTTCTTTTTTTTTATCTCGAGCTCTTGAAAATGGTGGATGTGTATCGCTTTTTGTGAAGTCTATTTCAAACAGAACCGATCGCAGCATTGTGTTTCCAGTCAAGGTTGCTTCACGCAAGGCAATGGGATCGTGCACGCTTTGTAAAACTTGTGCGCATCACATAACATTCTGTATTCATCTGCTTTCTTTTGCTTGCGTGAACAGTTGTTTTTGTCAGTCGGGCTGCTTCTCATTTCTAGAGGTTCATCCTTATTGTTGAACCCTGCTTTTAAAAAAAATACAATTTAAAAATGATTTTCGACCAGCCAAAGTGGCTAGTGGGAGTGGCTTTCTAATCCGCCACAGCCGAAGTCTACCTGCGGTTGGTGGGTGTTAATGTCAAGCCCTGGTGTTAACCCATTAATCTGTTTATACTGTATTTAGGCTACATACACACTGTAATATTTCAGGAGGAACGGCAGCATACAAATATGGAAATAAACTCGAAATTGTGATAACCTTAGTGACATTTGGTTTTGTATCCTCAGATTTTTAAACGCAGTAATATTACAGCAACTACAGAATATTATAGTCAACAATTTTAGGTAAACCAACAGTAACAGAGGAGGCTTTTATGTTTGGAAGGCCATTTTTGCAATTGATTTTTCTCAGTTTTCTTTTACCACAGTTCTAGTACATGGCCATATAGTCTGACATAGTGTCATTGTGTTCTCTGTCTTGTCCCAGAATCCTCTACCAACAATGCGTCTTGGCAAGTCATCTGATGTGCGTCAAGGTGAATTTGTGGTTGCCATGGGGAGCCCCTTTTCTATTAAAAACACCATCACATCTGGAATCGTCAGCTCTGCTCAAAGAGGCAGTAAAGAACTGGGTCTCTCCAACTCCAACATGGACTACATCCAGACGGACGCTACCATAGATGTAAGAGCACTGGAAACTGGGTGGTGTTGCATGCAAAAAAATGTATGTCATCATTTAATGAATTGCATTCCATCACTCAATCACAATTCTGCTTTACAGTTTTGAAATTCAGGAGGGCCTCTCATAAACCTGGTGAGTCGCTGACATTTACTCAAAAAACTGCTTCTGCCTTTTGGTTTAAAGGGTCCAAAAACACCAAAACACATTTTTGAGATGTCAATAGTCATATATATGTTCCACGCTGCTAAAAACACTATTAGGATACATATATTTCACAATAAAAGAGAAAATTGGTTGTTTTTGCGTTATTTCGAACAAATTCGTTCTTCCGGTTTGAAAAGAAATTTTGAAGCTACGTCAAGGCCACGAGCTCCTTGTGTAAATTCCAGCATGGAGACTGGCTGTCTGTACCGGCGGGTACAATGTGACGTCTTTGAGCTTTCATCATTAATTCAAGAGAAAGACGAACCAATCAGTCCTGTCTCTACGGATTTGGTAAGTAAGCAATTGGTGTTCGTTGTTATTCAGATGGCGAAGTAGGCCATTAAAACTACACTCTTCTAGCAGTTCCTCGGATCCAATATGTCGTTTGTCGTGGGGGGCACGCATGAAATGTTCTTGAATGAAAATGAAAGTGCCAAACTGCAGTTAAAGTCGACAAATTAAGAATGAAACTCCCCAAAATTACATGACACTCCGGAGGAAACGTGGATAGCGTGGTGACACAATGACGTTAATCGTATTATGTGCTTTAACATGTAAAACGGGATCATGAAAGGAACATTCAAAAAGCAACTCATGTAAACACCTTAGTCATATTGTTGTTTTGATCAGATTAAGGCAAATAGTTAGATTACTGATGTCCACAAAATCATTACTTTATCTGTTAAACCGACAAGTGAAACACAAACTACTCTCCTGTCTTCATTTGGAATAAAACTTCCAATTAACTCAACACAAGCAAAGACAATTGTAGGCATAATAGTAGGAGTATTAGAGTAGGAGTATTTATAGCCACAGACATGCAACCTTTTTCAGGGGTAGAAAACTCTGGTTTTAGGCATTTAATTAGTGTGCTAGAACCACACTACGAAATCCCAAGTAGAACGTATCTCACAGCTACGGTGGTACCCTCCTTGTACAATAATGTGAAGGAGAAAGTTATTAGTGCACATTTAGTAGTTGACTACAGATTGCTGAACCTTCAGAGCAACACAGAGCTTCATGACTGCCATTTTAAGAACGTGAATTGTTTTCAAATGTTCATCAATATTGTATTGTACTGGCCATACTCAAGCCTTATGTAATAAACTGATGTATCATGTTTGTACTCTTCAGGATGGTGAGGTCATCGGCATTAATACCATGAAAGTGACAGCAGGGATTTCCTTCGCTATTCCCTCAGACAGAGTCCGTCTCTTCCTTGACCGATCTGCAGACAAACAGAGTAAGAATGACCTCACAGCTGCTTGCTTTTGTCTGTGACAGCATTTTTTTTCACTGACAGATGGTTATTGGGTCTTTTTTTCAGAGTCTTGGTTTGGAGAATCGGGATGGAAAAGGCGTTACATTGGAGTGATGATGTTGACTTTGACCCCCAGGTGCCAAACACTTTTATTACAATTTTACAGGAGAGCAAAATTCATACATTATGGAATCTGCAGACTTTTGTTATATACCACTAGATTTGGCTCTTAGAAATTCAAGTGCTGGAATACCTGGAAAATTGGCTTGTTCTGTTGAAAAGTGCTTAATTTATCAAGGAGAATTTGTTTGCAATTTTCACGCCCGAAAAATAAAAATGTTTGTGAATTTTTGTGACAATTTAATGCAAAAATACCCGCACAATCTACCGTGATTCCGACGCAGTGATTTAAATGATATGAGAAGTGGCCAATCACAGTCAACCTTGTTTAGATTTACATTGAACGTAAGGGCGGGACAAAGGCCTTTCTGTGTTGCAGTGACAGAAAAAAACAACTTAAAAACAAATGTTTTAATGGAAAAATGCTTTTGGGATGTTTTCACTATATGTTATTAGCAAGAGTAATTAAACCACGGACATACTTCCTGCCATTTCAACGATCTTCACACACATTTTGCTCTCTTCTCTCCGCTCTCTTCTTCTGACTTGTCTGTCACTCCTCTGAATGTTGGCGTGGGAATGCAGGTATTGCGCAATTACTCATTTCTGCATACGTCGTGAGCGCTTTATTTTAACATGAGAGCGCAGTCATGTACATTAATCATAAAAACAGATATGCGAGCTCTTAAATAGGCTTTTTCAAATTAACTGCAAGTCCTCTCATCATCTCGTGTATGTGATTAGACTGTATACAATCACTATCTCTTCAATATTAAAGTAGAAATTATTTATCTTTGCTCCTTGACTAAATTTAGTATTTAGAGTACAGACTTTTTATTTGGCTGTATCGTCAAGTGAAACTTACTTTGAGCAAAGTTGGAACTTTTTATATTTTTTTAAGACAAAAGAATTATGCTAGAAATGTTTCTGTTTGGGGTATTTGTGGGATTTATACATTATAGCTGTATTCTGATCTGTCTTAAAGCATCACTGAATTGTACAGGCATTACAGGTCAAAGCAATCTGCTGTTACATTTATCATAATAAACAATAAGACTCTTCAAACACTGCTTTGAAAAATGCAGTGTTGTCATAATTCAAATACCTAGAGTTAAACAACATTTGCTTTATTATTTTATTACTGACAGTGTAGTAGTCTTTCTTGTAAAATTATTTCAGTTTAAGATCAAGTGTAAAATAATATTTCCATGTGCTGTACAGCTATTTAAGAAACAAATTTGCCATATTGTAAAGACAAGAATGAGCAAATAAGAAAAATTATGTAAAATATGTAAATAAAAGGCTAAATTTAAATATTTTTATCATATACTTTAATTAAACCTTTCAAAACTTGAAAATATTGTTTAAAAAATGGACATAAAGTGTCTCTGGCCTCATAGAGTGTGGGGTTGTTTTGCCAGTACTAATGAAAAAGATTAATTGTCATGGAAGGAAAAATCGACCATACTTCCTTTGTTAGTGCACATTTTTATATATGTAGCTTTGTGATTCAAGCAATTAAAGCATTCAAATAAATTTATCATAATTTCTTTTAAAAAGAGCCAAAATGAAAATCTGAGTTTTTTTCCCCCAAAAAATATCTAACTAGTACTCTGAGTAGTTTTTAAAATAGTACTTTGTACTTTTACCCAATGTTAGTATTATTTACTAAAACTTGTATTATTTTAGCAGTGTAATAGTATAAAAAAACATTTTTACAAGCATATTTAGTGCAGGTTTAATATATTATTAATACACAATTGATTAATTAATTTTATTATTATTATGATCATTAATGGTTTTTATTTGTATATTTATATAAATTCCTATGCAGTGTTTTAATACGATGCGTGTCAGTGTTGAAAATAAAAATAGGTGCTGGAAAAAAGTGCTCAAAAGTCCTTGATTTTCATTAGGCTGTGCCTTTATGAGCCCTGTAAAATTCAAGATATTTAAGGTTTTAGTTTTGTATACATAATGTAGAGTTGAGCAATATCATATATTTTTATTTTTTTGTCCCAAATGACATGAGTTCAATTGTGGTATTGATTTGAACAGTTCTGTAAATAATTAAAGGTGCAGTAGGGGATCTGCCAAAATGCTAACCGCTTAGCCTATTATCTTTGGACCGCGGGGAGGGACTGTGATTCAAAGCCACACGGCCTGAAATCTGCATTTGCTGACAGTTTGAGCTACTTATCTGAATTACGGGAGATGTCGACCCGACAATATTTAATTGGATGAACATTTTTTAGTTGCTTTACCCATAATATAAAATACATAAAAACACATTTAGATCATTTACTTTAATCATTACTATTGGACTGTGAAGAGACTTTCAACCAGCACAACTAAAATGTTTCTGAGGACAATCACCTACTGCACCTTTAATTCAATGCATTGCAAATTAACAGCATTTCCTTTGTCACACTCTATGCGACTGAAGTAGTATGAATGTTTTGTTGAGGTGTTTTTGGTTGAAGCGAATGTAATATTGATTGTTATGCTGATCTATCTATCAAACTATCAGTCTATCTATCTATGAATCTATCTATCTATCTTATCTATTTATCAATCAATCCTTAAACTGTAAACATTCCGCTGAAGTGAGTCTTTTATTATCTTTAAATTCTCTTTTTCCCATCCTCAGTATAATCGAAGAGCTAAGGATGCGAGACCTGTCCTTCCCTGATGTTTCTCATGGAGTTCTCATCCACCGTGTGATTGTAGGATCTCCAGCCAACAGGTGTGCTGCTCTCTGAACATGATGTTATCAGCTGTTGATTAAGGCATCCTATTGATGATGTCATTTCCTGTTTTCTGTTTTGCAGAGCTGGAATGAAGCCAGGAGATGTTATTATTGAGATCAACGGGGTAAAGGTGAACACGTTGGAGGAGATATATAATGCTGTGAGGACCAGCGAAAGCTTAAATGTGGTGGTCCGCCGGGGGGCCGACCTGCTCATGCTGCACATGACCCCAGAGTCCACAGAGTGACATCAAGTCAAGTATTTAGTAAGATTAAGAAATGGTGAGTAATGAGAAGCTGTCATAGTTGGAGATGTTGTAAGAAAGGAATCATTTAAAGAGTTTTAGCAAACGCTGGACATTCGTGTAGTAAACGTGTTTCTGGAAGCGTATGAAATAATGTGGATGATTCAGACTTCTGTACACTGGATAAACCTCAGTGTGTCTGCGCAAACTACACTATCAGTATTGATTTGAAGGAATATCACTGAATATTTTGTTTAGGATTGTCATGATGGCAACAAACACTCAAAGACCTTAATAAAACTGGGTGCTCTTATTGTGAAAATGCTGATGTTTTGTATTGAGTCTCACATTCTCATGTTACGACGTTTGTATTTTAATACATTTTTCTGAACAGCTCTGATTTCACAATAAACCATTGGAATATTTATGGATGATTTGCTGATGTCGCAGTGACTGATATGTTTAGGTTTTGGGTCAGCGCTGTACAGCATTCTGAAAAAGTGTATTTCTAAAAGTGCGCCGTAATGACGCCAGTGTCAACTGCAGTGTGTGTTGGAAAGGACTGGATGCTGTTCAAACCTCATGCCAAGTTTTTGTCACCCCAAACAAAACCATTTTAAATCCACACAATCTGACAACACTGGGGCTAGATCACAATATAAGCCACAACACAAGTGAGTTCAATAAAATATATCTTTATTACAGACATGTACAAAAATCAAATATACAAAACATTCTGCTAATGTGACTCAGAACTCCAGCATGGACCAGTCGTGGTAAGGCATCTCTTCTAGAGGAATTCTGCACTCTGGATTCTCATGCAGACAAGCCCTCATCATATCACAGCATTCTGTGAAGAAGAAATGGAGAGGTGAGGTTATTGTTATTATTATTATTATTATTATACCGTTTTTGCTTAATTGTTCTTTGATGAACATCTCACCTTGAGAGAGGGTAAATTTGGACCAGTCATGTTGGAGGTAGTACAGGTCATACGCTGATGGGAATTCTCCATGGAGCATTGTGAACAGAAGAACCCCAAGAGAATAGACCGTCGCTGGTTTGGCCCGGTAGCATCCTTTTTCATAAAACTCTGGCGGGATGTACGCTTCTGTGCCTGAAGGAGAGACGTTTAGTTTAGCATCATGTTGAATATATATACCAGATGGGTTTCAGCTGTGCTAATTAACCAGCTTTCAATACGTATATTAAAAATGCTTATGCACATTCATAACTAGTGTTGTCAAAAGTATCAACTACCAATCGATACCGACACTCATCACAGTCATATTTGCTGAGCATGTGAACACCAATGGCCAATCAGTGGTGTTTAACAGCGCTCAAATTGACTTGTTAAATGTCAGAATCGATTGGTACCGAAGTCGATACTTTTGACCACACTATTCAAAACACCTACCAGAGAAGAGACTGTAGGCTGATTCCATCATGAAGTCTCCACACCCGAAGTCGATCAGCTTGACTTCCAGTGTGTCGGGGTTCACCAGCAGGTTTTGAAGCTTAATGTCCCGGTGGAACACCCCGCGGTAACAGCACACGTTGGCCGCATAAACAGCTTGCCTCATGATGGTATGTGCTGTTTTCTCACTGAGGACTCCTCCGCTGACTTCAAGGAATGCCTCCAGGTCCATGCTTGGACTAGGCCGCTCCATCACCATGACATAATGGTTTTCAAAGACCTGCCAGTCCAGGAGCTTAATAATGTTCGCACACCTGGAGCCACCGCTGGCCATGTTTGCCAAGGTGATCTCTAGAGGAAGTGGCTGGTCACATGACTGAAAACAAAATAATAATGTTGGTTTTCAAACAAGGGTTTCTGACCACAGCCTGTGGTCTATAATAAATATAAGACTTTATAAACTGAACACAGCGAACAGAAAGTGTAGTCTACTCACAGAGCTGACATCTTGCATATTTGGGGTCTTCTGGACAAATTTAACTGCCACCTGTTTAAAGGAACAAGCCAACAATTAACATGTGCACGGAGATCATTTCATTCAGTCATAAATCCTGAACAGAGGATTCATTCGTCAGCAGAAATGTCCAAACAATGAAAGCTCTGATGATGTTCTTTAAACAGGGAACTTCATCAGAGGATTTGAGTCTACAAAAACGAATACCTGCAGACCATCCTGTATGCGAATCCCCTCATACACGGAGCCGAAACCTCCTTCACCAAGCTGCTTTCCGAGTTTGTAGCGGCAGCTGATGTCATCTGTTAAAAATGAAGAAAATGTCATTAAATTATAAACCAAATAAAAACACAAACAGTTGAAGTCAGAATTATTGTCAGATTTCAGAACATGATAGTTTTAATAACTCATTTCTAATAACTGATGTCTTTTATCTTTGTCGTGATGACAGTACATCATATTTACTGGATATTTTCAAGATACCAGTGTTCAGCTTAAAGTTCTGAATACTTAAACTTTATTGCTCTGCATCATTTGGGAAATATTTAAAAAATATGAATAAAAAATCACAGAAGAGCGAATAATTTTGACTTCAACTGTATAATTTTACAAAGTTTGATGAGCCTAAACAAATGTTCTGAACTCCAGCAATAAACTTACTATTGTCCAAGCAGGTCCCATCATCTGCTGTAGACTTCACAGCAGAGTCCTCTTGTGAGACCTGATCCGGTGAAGGGTTCGAGTTTTCATCCAGGGCAGAGTCACAGATGTCATCTGTTATGAGCTGCTGGCTCACTGGAAGTTCATTGTCCTCATCGGATGGTGAACTTGGAGGACTATCAAGCTCTTGCTCCAGGCTGTCCTCGCTGAGGGAGGATTCATTGTCTTCTGGGAAGTGAAGCTCTGCAGAGTCGTTCTCAATGACCACTGCAGAGTCAAAGCTGTTCACTTCAGGTTTAAAGTCCAAATCTTCGTCTGCTGGATCATCAAGAGCTGGAGGTTGGAGAACTTCCAGCTCCAGGTTGCTCACAGCAGTGCAGAAGAATTTAGAGCTACTGATGGGCTCTGCGTGAAGTTCGTGGATCTCCTGCACACATAGCTGATCTAAAGAGAGGAAGGAACATCATTAATATGACTCTACAACTCTTTTTGACAAGATATTTGAACAGTTCATTTGCAGAAACATTACTCAATGTGTTTTTATTGATGATCTTCAAGGTTTTTCTGCATTGAATTAGCAAACAAGTAAACTATATATCTAAAGGCAAAGCTCACTGAAATAAAAAATCCTAATACAAATAATTCTTATTTTTTCTGTTTTTTACACAAAACTACAAATTCTGAAGAAAATTCCTGAAATCAGCAGCCATTAACCTTCATTGTAGGAACACAAAATACTGTGGAAGTCAATGGCTGAAAGCACCTCAAACAGGTTTAAGGAGTAAATTATGACAGAATTGTCTTGTTTATGTGAACTGTGGCTTTAAGAAACTATCTTTCTAAAATGTCTTCCAGTTAATGTTCATTTCTGTTCTTTAAACACTTATGTGATGTGTTTGGTGTGTTTAACAGTATGCTTTAGTAATTAAAAGTGCTGATAAATCTATTTTACCAACAACAGTAGCTCTTCTTCTGGAAACACAGGCGAAGAAGATGGGAGACAATTTGAATTTCCTCTTTTTCTGTCTCCCTGCCTGTTTTCCTGCAGCGACGGCCGGGTCATCGGTCATCAGATGACGGTGATTCTCTGTCGTGCTGCCGGTGGGTTCGAGTGGCTCACACGGTTGTTCGTTCGCACACTTAACACCAAACGCTTTCTTCAGACGGTTAATCAGTTTTGAAAATGCCATTTTATCACTGTACTGTTGAATCGCAGAAAGTACTGAACTACTAGACATCCAAAGAAGCTAATGAGAGTTTCTGCTACGTCAAAAAGCTTTATACTGTCACCGATGATGTCAGAGTTCCACAATTCCATTTGGTATTACGTAGAGACTTTTTAAAACACAACAAACTTCTAATGAAAGCCCGCGCTAGACTGACTGGCTCATTCGCCTTAATGTGCTCACACAGCCACCTGATTATATACACATTTTTTCAAATTATTAATTAAATTAATTTTGCACTTAGGCCTATGTATTTTTTCTGTCATGCACAACTTTTTCTGCGTTTTACTTTTTATTACAATTATTGCCATGTTTATATATATATTTATACGTGTGTGTGTGTGTGTGTGCGTGCGTGCGTGCGTGTGTGTGTGTGTGTGTGTGTGTGTGTGATCCATTTATTTTGAGTAGCTCATTTAGGTTATTTTATATTTTCATTATCAATTATTTATCATTTTTAACAGTATTATTATTATCGTTTATATTATATTTTATATATTATGATTATATAAATTCGTTATTTTTGTGAATTCTTTTTAAATGAATAATGCTTCAAATAATAAATTAAAAAGAAAAATATGCAACAAAATGAAGTTATCCATGTATTACCTGAAACCGCCAGTAGGTGGTGGTAGGACACTGTCTTAAGTGAATAAGACATTTATTCAGCAACAAAGCAACTTTTGTATTTATGAATAGGTCAAGGATGAATCGACTCTCACAATTTATTTAAATCCACAGAATCATTCACAAAAAATAACCCACTCTAGCCTAAATAAGGACTGAACCGATGTGAACGCTAACAGGTAGGAATAATGATCAAATTCTTGTGGATTAAACATCTTTGTTGACATTAATTGCAGTAGATTTTATTAAGTTACAACAAAAGGTAGGAAATGGTTTTAATTGCGAACTGTACTTATTTTATGTGTGAACATGCTACATGCTAACACCATCACAGCGTTCCAGTCAACTAATTTAGAGCTACTAACGTTAGTCAACAGTCCCCGCCTTCACTTAGTGAAAAATGCGAATTAAAAAGAAAAAATAACATAAATAAAATAAACAATTACAAATTAAACCAATGAATATTAAAGTCAGTGTAATTAGATCTTACGTTTATTACTGTATGTCACACTGGCTAATAAGCTAGCGCTAATTAGCAGTTGATGCTAATGCTAACATTGATGCAACTTAATGTTACTGTAATGTAATTAATGTTATATTAACGGTACTGTAACGTTAAACTAATTATTGTTTTACTTAAAGGCTCAATCAAATCTTTAACGTTAACATCAGTCAGATTGATTGCTAATTGAGTGATTCTGTTAATATTACATTTGTTTACCTTAATATTACACTAGATAACTTTAGGAACTATACAGGGAGAGGAATTATTTAGTTTTATATTACAGAAACTCGATATTTATTTTCTATATTTTTGTTAGGCCACAGTTTGAAATGCCATTCTGCAGGCTGAAATGGCATATTTAACACAATTAACACTTTACTACAAAAAATACAGTCAGGTTTATTTTGTGTGGATAAATGTAAGTTTACTTTAGTAAAACTATGTTTTTGTCTTATTGGCTAAATGGGCTCATGAAAGTGTTTCACATAGAAATGAATAAATAATAATTAATAATAATAATTCCTTACATTTATATAGCAATTTTTCTGCACACTCAAATTGCTTTACACATTGGGGGTAACATGTTTCCCGAAAGACATTTTGAAATGGAAACAATATTTTTCTTTCCCATTTATATCTTGACCTAGTTTGTTGGCTTCTGAAAAGTTATAAAGAGACAGGCAAATGCACTGAACATTCTTATATTAAGCAATGTGTTAACCTATTCATTAATTAAAATCAATTCACCAGGGCCGGCCCAAGCCTTCAGGGGGCCCTAAGCAGGATTTTATTTGGGGCCCCTTTGGTGCAAACAATATGATAAATTATCATCAATCCTTGATAATTCGCACACTTTAAAACACACATTATTGATTTTGTTCGCTGTAGCTGTGTTGCTTACATCATAAAATATATGTTTTAAGACAATTCTAAATATTATTCTGCAGAAACAACTTCCTATTGATCCAACTTTTTATATGACTATTTGCCAAAAAATCTAAATAACACAAAACATTAATATGGGCTGGCAGAAACAAAAGCAGCTGGAAGTAGCCAATAACATACTTATTTTTATTATTATTCAGGCACAAGACAGGCTGCCAAACAGTCAAACATAGTGACAATAAAGATAATTTCTTTTTTAATTGGATATAAATGTTAATACTGAAAAAAAAAACATATTGTATTTTGTAGTTCAAATAACTTAAAACATCTATTTAAATTAAAATCAAACTAAATCAGGAAGCATTTTCTAGACATACTCGCATATAAATCAAATTAATAAATATGTACAAAGATTTTCAGTTAGTGATTTTTTTTTTGTAAAACAAATTAATCTGCCAATGAGATAAGTAAAATAATCTTATTTAAAACATAAAACAATCTTTTTTTTATTTACCCTAATTGTCAGATAATTGAGCTTTTTTTAATGAAAAATTCACATAATTTTGACTAAAAATTTTTCTAGAAAATGTTTATTGGTTTAAGAATTTTTAGATATTTGGACTACAAAATCACACAAAAACTATAAGAAAGAAAATAATTTTGCAGTGTATTACCAACTCTAAATTGTATAAATCAGAAGCTTATTTTTTTTAATCGCCAAGTTCATGAAAAAGCATTTTGCTGCTGTTCCGGGCACTGCTGCTTCAATCACGATATCAAAGATTCTGCAATATATTGATAGATCACAAGAAAACCAGCCACAATATATCACAATTTTGGTAAATGAAGGGGGGAAATGCATAAAAAATTTATGATGAATTTATTTTATAAACACGCATTTATAGAATTGCAACAATGTAAAACAAGTGCACATCTGTCAAACAAGCTTAAAATGCTGATGTGCAGAGAGCAGTTTATGACTGAAGAGAGCACATCTCTATCACAGCAGCAGAATCTCAATTTAGTGGAATATGCATTTAAGAAAAAAACTGCCAAAATAGTAATTTATTGCAATTTATATACACTTATTACAACTTGACCAACTAATTTTATGTAAACATGGAAACATTTTATGCTTAGCCCTGGTTTATTTATAATAAAAAAAATATGTATTCCCACTATTTTTTCAACTGATCAGAATGCTCTGAGAGGTGAGCACAGACTCCTCTGAGCACGTATGTTTTCAACAGTGGAGAACATTAGTTATTTACTCACATATTTAAGTTTTTTAATTCCCCTAATATTTTTTGCCAAAATACCATCTACAAGATTTTGACAAGGTCTGTAAGAGTGAAATAAACGCAAGGCCTTTCTAATTAAATGTTCATGTCCTATTGATATCTTTATATATTTTGGCGGAGTTAAAAAGTTTGAGCGCATAACCGTACGTTCACACCGAAAGCGGCGAGAGCGTCAAAGTAGCCGGAAGTCATTAATTTTCAATGAGAGCCGGCGGCGATAGGCGTCGATAAGCGGCGAGGAGCAGCGCGGCGCGTCTTCGCCGGCGTGAGCGTCGAGGAGAGTTGAAATGAAGTCAACTTTATGGTAATGAGCTTTGACGCGGTTCGGCGGCAAGCAATCAGAATGAAGAAGTCCACCAATTGATAGCAGTTCAGGGAACACAGACCAGTGAACTTTGGTTCCGACCACAGTTGTTCCCAAGGGTTTGATTATTGCGGTCGCCGGATTTCCTATTATTTACAATGTTTTCTTACAGGACCATGCATCAAATAAGTTACTGGCGAGTTACTGATGTTCATTAATGTTATATAAATTTATCTTTAAAAAGCGGGAATCTCACACGATGTGACAGTACAAAACAGCACTGCTGCTTCAGGATATTTCAGACATATGGACACATATTGGATAAATAGAGCAAAGTCACACGCAACTTGATCTTCCATTGTTGTATGAATTTGATAAGAAGTGCGCAACATTTTCACGCTACAAACATGTTTTATGCAGGAATGTAACTGATATGCTGCAACGGCTCCTTTAAGTACGAGATCAATGTAGCGAGTTTTGACGCTCTCACCGCCGGAGCTGAAGGCAGATAGCGTTGTCGCCAGGGCGGCCAGAGCGACCTTGGACGCTCTCACCGCTTTCGGTGTGAACGTACGGTGATGATACGCCATTACGGGAAGCGCCACCTGGTGGCGGCTGGGTGTACTGTAGCTAAAGCGGTTATCTGCTGCAGTCGGTGTTGAAAACTGATTAATTAAATCAGATCTTTTGTAAATTTAGGTAAATATCTTGGCGCCTGAGTATGTATCGCGGTCAGAAATAACAATATAAATTGGCATATATTTTGTTCCACCACTAATCCACAAATTAACAAACTAAAACGAAAGTCA